TTCCAGTTATATCACAGCGTGTCAGCTTAATGTGGGAGGAAAGCCCGAAGTGATGCATGTCTCAGATGTTTACAACTTTGGTGAAACCCACGAGGACGGGTATCGTGCTGACAAACCTAGAAACATTATCGGGGCGAACCAGGAGTCTAACCCACAATCATAGGTTTCTGGCGTGCCCAAGTGACGCAACTCTGCACAGCGAATTGCGGGGCCTTACACGACTGGGCCACCCGTGCCCACTGTAGACGTTATTACCCTTACCTACAATGATATCGGTGCAAATTATTTTCAGTGATTCTCACTGGGCATTACAACGGTTTATTCATGCAAATCAACTAGTTTGTTCCAATGGCTCCAATGTTTGCGAAGAGGACAATAGCAACATTACACATCATACCAACACACTGCTGTCAAAACATGAAATTATGCCATCCCTTGTTTTCGAAGCTGCAATCAATTTCATATGACATTGTTCCAACAACAGATTAACAGAGCTGTTGTGTCAGCCTGAGATCAGGGAACTCACATTCTTCTATAAAAAAAAAGATTTTTAAAAAATATGGATCACCTCCCACTCAATCTCATTAAAATCAGATCTTAGTTTTCACTACGTGTAAACAAAGATCTGAGGACATCCCATTGCGGGTCATGTCAGAAAGACATTTCACAGCATCGCTTAGCAGATCATGAAAGTGACAGTTGGAATGTGATTTTTTATTGTGCAACCTCGAAAAAATCACACAGGGTATTCCGAAACGACAATTATGGGCTTTATGTCTGTATTAACACAAAATAGACCATCTATTAGCCATTCCAGAATGTTCTTTTGTTCAGTTTTTAATTGTTTAATCGAGCATATGTTAAAATATGTTTCAAAGTGTAGTTGCCAGTTTGAAACTAGTGCCGTAAATCTTGATTAAGCTGCCTTCTGATTGGCTATTGCTGACTTCTTGTTAGTTATTCCATTGGTCAGTTAAAGTTCGCAAAAGTTCTGTCTGACACAACCCGTGACCCGTGACCCGTGACCCGTAATGAGATGTCCTCAGATCTTTGTCAAGTGGTAGCAAGATCTAAGATCTGATTTTAATGAGATTGATCTCTCCCTCTAATTAATGTGTTCCTTGGCATGGCTCAAACACTTAGAAAATATTAATTCACTCGGGACAGATAATCAGTAATTAAAAGATTATTCTTTAAATATTCTGTGGCTCTCATGGCACCACCATCCTGAATTGCATGTGACCAATCCCTTACATACTGAATGATCATTTCAATCATCTCCTTGCAACAAGATTGAAAAATAGTGGTTCCAAAAATGATTAAATCCTTTTGCTAACAGAAATATGCACTGTGGAAGATCCACGCTTGAGTAATGCTGAGACACTAGCTGAAAGATATACATGAGGTTCTTTCTGGTACAAAACATAAACAGGAAAAATAATTATGGACTAATGGAAGACGTGTCACATTTTTCTGAAAACGGGAGCGACAGTGTTGGTGAGAAAGGTCTTTGTCGCTTAATGTCAATGATATCAGTCACACAACACAGGCAACTAGTCAAGCATGGAACGCTCATTGGTCAGTCTCTATAAAATCAGATCTTTGACTCTGATCAGTTACCTCTGTGTAATACCCCCTCAAAAGGTCAAATCCGGTAACCCTGAGCCAACTTTCACTGCACAATCCAAATAAAAGATGCATCGGTTCTTGAGTGTATCAGATGTTAACTTTTTTAAATTATTTGGTTTCACTTTATTACCACCCAATTTCTAAACATTAATTGGTACAAAAGAAACCCCCATATATATATATATATATATATATATATATATATATATATATATATATATATATATATATATATATATAGCCTATAACACAAATGTTCCTTCCCAGGTACTCCTTGTTGGGTGAAGAAATGATAGGGTGGATAGCATGGCCTTTATCATTTACATTTGGAACTGACTGATTAACTGCATTTTCGAGATACAGCAATCTGATATGCTGGTCTGAATGCTTTGCTCAGTACCAACAATTTAGAGTCCATGATGCTGATGACTGGCTTATAGAAAGTTACCTATTACATTGGTTGTCATATCTTTGCACAGAAAGGTATCATATTGGTGTAGAACATAAGACTGTAATGAGATCATCTCTTTGCCATCAATGCTTTTTAGTTTACAGATTTTACCAACCAGAGCCCCCCAAAGTAAAAATAAAAATAAAAATATAAATAAAAATATAACTAACTTGTAAACAAAGTTAACAGACAAAAATAGGACAAATCTTTCTATGACAAAAGTATATACATGTACATCAATGGAGAAGTAACTGCTCCCACATGATTACTGTAAAAATAATCATAAAAGATGCTGCTCTTAAAACAGAATCAGAGATTATGCTTCTCACTGCACTGAGTAAAGAACCTTCATGTCATTAAATGTTAAGCCACAAATATACATTTCCATTCTTATTTTAACCTACAGTGCTCCAGATAATTTTTCAAATTAAGGAGTAGATAGTCCTTAAACTGTGATGGGATAGCTAAAAACACTCAACATGCTCAAACATTGTTGGTTAACTTTAATGTAGAGTCTCAACAAGTCAGAGGATGTCAAATCCCCCCGGCCCCCACAAGTTCAATAGAACAAATTATCTGACTGTTACTTTAAGTTCAATTTGATGAGAGAATTTCTATCTAATCTGGCTGTCCGTATACCAGAGTAGCTACTGAGCAATCAAAACACTACCATAGAATTGGGAATCGGAACTTTGAGTTTTTATGTCAGGTACACACCAATATGAACAGAGTCCAAGTCAAACTTGTTGCCATAGAAATGCAAAAAAATATAAATTCTAAAAATCTCTAAATAGCAAAAGGCACCAGTTGACAACGTGGTCTTTGTGTGTGCACAGTTTCAAGAAAGAGTACCTATTAGTTTTTGAGATATGGTCCGGACAAACAAACCACAAAAACGTACTATTCCATGAATATTAGCTTCCATGGTGAAGCGGTCATTAAATCAGCTAATTCAATCAGAGGGGGTCTATTGTGATTTGACAACCTATGATTGACCAATCAGAATCGAGTAATTTCCAAATTCATGGTAGAATTCAGAAATAGAGTTACACTTTTGTGTAAAAATAACACAGCGTGACTTTCACACATATCTCATCTGAACAGCTGGTGTTAGTTAAAAATATTCCGTTTATTTTCCTACCTACAATATCATGATAACATGCGGAAAAACTAACGTGAACCTGTCGTTTAATCACTAACAATTCCTAATCATGGTGATAACTGTTGCCACAATTTTTCCAAAATGGTCTTGAAGTTTGTTTCCCCCAGTGTGACTATGTCTGCTCATTTATAAACCCCACAACCATATCTCACATGGTAGACAACCCCAGAGACGACTCTGTAGTTTGAGGTACATCAGCTTCGCAAAAGAAATCCTTGATTGACAGTTGCTTCGACCTTTTTGGCATGAAACGATTAGATTAAATAGCTCCGTCACAACACGAGGCGAGAGTTATCGTCAAAGAATATTGGCCAATCAGTTAAAAGAAAACACAATAGCCGCTTAATAATTGGCCTAGCATTTGGAATACCCGTAAAACATCACAGAATCCCCATACACATCAATGTTAATACCTAGCCAGTGTAAAATGACAGCGTGTATATATTTTGAAGACCGATATTTAATAAACATGAAAGATACAGCCTAAAGTAAACAGAAGACTTATTTACTTATTTATGACGGTATCAGTATGCTTTATAATTTAATTGCATTTGTATTTGTAATTTTGCTAGCCGTACATATGCCAAGACAGCCCTTAGCTTCAGCACTTAGTTTCACTTAGTTTCACTGAGTTTCACTTAGTTTCACTGAGTTTCACTGATTTTGCTGAAGGTATACAATGGAATTTTTTTCTGAGGAAGACAAACACGTTTTTTATTGCAAACGTAGGGATTGTGTATGTACTGGTGACCTGCTTCATTTTGATTCGCTTTATAGACAGGGTATATAAATAAGCGTTGATTTTGAAGGCTTGTACGGTAAATCAATGTTCACTTGTTCAACACTGCAGTTCAGTTCACAGCCTATGTATACTAGCCACTCATCAGCTTAACACAAACACACTTCACACACATCTTAACAAAGGTACTGAAGCTCACCCAATGCAGTGCACACTTCCCAGGGATCAGTGCATGATGGGGAAACAGAGCTGAGATAATTTAAGTCTGCTGGTCCTTAAAAGAGCATTGAACTTTTTCTGAAAATAGCTAAGAAATTCTTAATTTAACTGTCAAAATGCAAAAAGAAGGGGAGGCTGTTAATGTGCATCTTATTTTGTTAACTATGCAAAATTAAAATTAAACATTATGAGTGAGTCTGGTTGCTTTTAGCAATATTCCAGCAATATTCCAGCAATATCAGGGGGAGGGGGGCACCAGAGATTGGCTTCACACATTGTACCCATGTGTGGAATCGAACCCAGGTCTTCGGCAAGACAAGCAAACGCTTTAACCACCAGGCTACCCCTTTACCATTGGGACATATAGGGTAATTCATAATTTTCATAGTTTTTCATAAAAGAGACTTAACAGTATTTAACTACTAAAACTATCTATATCTAGAAGGTATCTGTAAGGGAACATTATAATAACAATATATTAGTGTTATTGCACCTGCATATATATTTCCCTCAATTTCTGAATCATGACATGTCATAAATAGGACAGTAAGTCCCATCTTGTTTCATAGAGATATGGAGTGATTACAATGCCAAACCAGAAAGCATTGTTACGATTATTCTTGTGAAAATCTCATAAACAATATAACTGCTCTCTCCTGCTTCTAGGACACCTTAGTCTAAAATCATCACCCTGTTTCTCACATTACAGAACAAGTAAATACAAGTACACCTCTGCCTCATTTCATAAAAATGAAACTTTCACCTCAATCATGAATGTATCACACATTTTCACATTAAAATATAGATAGGTCTCAAATAGTCCTATTCATAAAACAATATTTTTGCAAGAAATTGGCATAATTGTAAGACCCTTCTTGACATAAAGTTCAAACGAACCAATCACTCACATCTAAACAGTATCAGTAACATGGCTTAACATCATTTTCACGTGACTCCAGAAATATCCCATGATGCACTGTCGGGACAATCCTGTATAATGACTCCACATATATCCCATGATGCACTGTCAGTACTATCCTGTATAATGACTCCACATTTATCCCATGATGTACAGTCAGCACTATCCTGTATAGTGACTCCACATATATCCCATGATGCACTGTCAGCACTATCTCGGATAGTGACTCCACATATATCCCATGATGCACTGTCAGCACTATCTCGGATAGTGACTCCACATATATCCCATGATGCACTGAGTATGAGCACTAGCCAGTATGGCGACGTTTGACAGAGGCACGTACCAGTTTGATCACCTTATAGGGATCAATATTCACATTTGTACCCTGAAAAAAAAGAAGAAAAATATTAGAATATTTCGTACATTTCCTCCCAAATACATGTCCACCACCACCATCATGCCATTGCAACCTTTCCCCTGAGTGAGGGGCGGTCGGGTAGCCTAGTGGTTAAAGCGTTTGGTCGTCACGCCGAAGACCCGGGTTCGATTCCCGACATGGGTACAATGTGTGAAGCCCATTTTCTGGTGTCCCCCGCCGTGATATTGCTGGAATATTGCTAAAAGCGGCGTAAAACCATACTCACTCACTCACTCACTCCCCTGAGTGAGTGAGTGAGTGAGTGAGTGAGTGAGTGTGAGTGAGTGAGTGAGTGAGTGAGTGAGTGTGAGTGAGTGAGTGAGTGAGTGTGAGAGTGAGTGAGTGTGAGAGTGAGTGAGTGAGTGAGTGAGTGAGTGAGTGAGTGAGTGTGAGAGTGAGTGAGTGAGTGAGTGAGTGAGTGAGTGAGTGCAAACTTAACGTCACATCGGCAATATTTCAGGCATATCGTGACGAGACAACATTATACATTGATAAGACATACATGTATATCAGGATTGAATGTAAACCTGTCATTGATAAACAGTACAATAACTAGATTATCACATAAGGAAGAGAATTTATGTATGTCAAGGAACACAACATTTTGGAGTATATGCTTACTTCTTCATCACTGACATACTCTAAACATATGATAATCATAATAACGTATCAAGAAAGTTGACATCCATAAATTCTCTTCCTTTAATATGTGTATCACTTCTAAACTGACTAGATTATCACAGTTTCGATTTTAAAACTAGTGTAGAATATTTAAAGGAATAACTTATCATTCAACAGTACAATATAAAAACGGGCTATAGATCACCAGCAACCAAAGTTAGGCCACCCTACTAGGGACTGTGGGGACTTAAAATACTTCTGCAACCTGCACGGATCCCCAGCAGGATTTACACCATCCCTACAGCTGCTGGTGATGGTATGTTATTTAGCCAACAGTTACAATCAAGAAATATACTTCGTCTAGAACTGTGGTACGAATAAACATACCTTGAATGATGTGGTTTGCCCGAGTGACTGCTGTCATTGATAAGTTCATGATTTGTATTGGTACTGCACTAGGGCTGGGACAGGTAACTCGGGCATCCGGGTCGGGGGGGTACTGAGTAGGACCCGTGGTGAGTCAGTTGATAGATATATTGTTTAATGACAAAAATTATCTAGAACTCTATGGTTACACTACAAGTCACTAATGTGTGTGCATTCCTTCTAATTTTTCATATGGTTGAATAAAGATAGAACTTAATTCAACTATAGTGTATGAATGACCAGATTGTTTAATACATGTATCTAAATACGTTTTGCCAGGGCTATGCTTAAAATGTTCCCAATCGGACATTTTGGGACATCTCCTGAGACCTACAGTGGGTAGCCGGGTAGGGTCGAGTAATAGGGCGTTGGGTACCTGGGGAGTAAATTTGGACTCGTCCCAGCCCTATACTGCACCTTGCAAGACTTCAGGTCAGTGTATGTCCAAAATACATCAACCAAGCACTGGAGCCAACAGGTTCATGATCTTGCAGGTGGGGCGGTCGGGGAGCATAGTGGTTAAAGCGTTTGCTCGCCACAGCGAAGACCCGGGTTCAATTCCCGACATGGGTACAATGTGTGTCCCCCGCCATGATATTGCTGGAACATTGCTAAAAGCGGCAAAAACCTCACTCACTCACTCACTCACTGATCTTGCAGTCAGAAGTGGAAATATTGATACAATCAGAGAGAGAAAGAGAGAGAGAGAGAGAGAGAGAGAGATTATAAGATTTCAATCTTTTTAACATCCCCTCCAACAAATATGTGTACTATTTCTTATGATCCTCCCCTGGAGACCAATCCACGCCTATAATAAATGCTAAGTTCTTATTCTTCCCTGGGTTCCCAGACAAGACAGACTACTCACTGCAAACAGCTCAAGGGAGCTCATGTCTGTCCTGACATCCGCCACGGCCCCCCGTGTCACGATACGGGCATATGCTGGAATACCGCCTAAGTCAGAACCCTGGAATTGGCAACAATCATTCAGTAATATGACATAAAAACCTAAAAAATCTAAAGAAAGGCAGTCAGTATGTTCATATTATGAAAAGATTTGCACCACAAAGCTCAGAAAATACAGGGTTTTTCCTTGACCTGCTCAGAGGCCATATTCTGCCTCAAATTGAGGTAAATATCCGTAAAAATTCCTAAATTGGAAATAAAGATTTCCCAATTCCTGTTGTAATAGTTACAGGGTTTTACCTTGGCCTATAAAAGTGGGCTTTGGGGGACCCAAAATAATTAGTTTCATGGATCCATGCAAGAAATATGAGGGTCCTGTAAAGTAATAAAAAACAATGTGGTGTACTGTACGTTTTGATAACTTTGGAGCCTCAAATTAATCAATGATATTAAAATCAAAATTGATAGAAAACAGCTGTTCGATAGAGCTGAGGATAACTTGTTCTATGTCACCTGACTTATACTGACTCGGAAAAAGCATGGAGCCTTTTGCTTCCAAGCAGGGTATAAGGGATTTATCCTCCCACTGAGAAATGTATTTCCCTCCAAGGCGGGATACTTAGTATTTTATCAAGATGACATGAACCAATCAGATCTGTTATTTTGCATCCCTCGGGACGCCATATATTTTTTTCTGCGTCCATTCTCTACATTTGTGCATACTAGGCTCACATTTGTCTGTCACGTAAAACGGCAAGCATGGGTTGCTGAAGGCCTATTCTACCCCGGCTCTTCATGGGTCAGCCTTTTACAGCAAGCATGGGTTGCTGAAGACCTATTCTACCCCGGCTCTTCATGGGTCAGCCTTTTACAGCAAGCATGGGTTGCTGAAGACCTATTCTACCCCGGCTCTTCATGGGTCAGCCTTTTACAGCAAGCATGGGTTGCTGAAGACCTATTCTACCCCGGCTCTTCATGGGTCAGCCTTTTACAGCAAGCATGGGTTGCTGAAGACCTATTCTACCCCGGCTCTTCATGGGTCAGCCTTTTACAGCAAGCATGGGTTGCTGAAGACCTATTCTACCCCGGCTCTTCATGGGTCAGCCTTTTACAGCAAGCATGGGTTGCTGAAGACCTATTCTACCCCGGCTCTTCGTGGGTCAGCCTTTTACGGCAAGCATGGGTTGCTGAAGACCTATTCTACCCCGGCTCTTCATGGGTCAGCCTTTTACGGCAAGCATGGGTTGCTGAAGACCTATTCTATTCTGGCTTTTCGTGGGTCAGCCTTTTTCAGCAAGCATGGGTTGCTGAAGACCTATTCTACCCCGGCTCTTCATGGGTCAGCCTTTTACGGCCAGCATGGGTTGCTGAAGACCTATTCTAACCTAGATCTTCACGTGTACTTACCAAAGGCGGAAGCCCTATACCCATACTGAAGCAGAGCTTGTCTATATCATCAATGAAGGCTGCAACATAAAGAAGACGGTTACAGAGACAAAATGTGTACTCTAACGAGTAGAATGGAACAATATTCTGATTGGTCAATCAGAAGTATCAAATCACAATAACCACCTCTGATTAAAACAGCACATTCTGATTGAAAGTGTACATCACCATGGAAATAATTATTTATAAACAGGTACTTCTTTCCCGGCCCTTGTTGGTTGGCAGTTTTAAATAGTTAGATTTACTGTCACTACAATCTTCAAAGTATGCATGGCAATACATTTTGGGCAGAAACACAGAGAGCTTCAATATCTGGCAGTAGTGCAGGCCAGCGTTGATGGGGTTATTACTGATTATTAACTTATCGGGCCATTGACAAGAGTGAGTGAGGATGTATTACATCGCTTTTAACAATATTCCAGCAATATCACAACCCGGGACTCCAGAAACGGGCTTCACACATTGTGCCAATGTGGGGAATCAAACCTGGGTCTTCAGCGTGACAAGCAAACACTTTAACCACTAGGCTATCTCACCGATAGCAATGTATCGATCGGCACAACCTCTATTGGCAAGCCTGGCCGACTGACCTCTCAGTGTGTAGTAGATGAGTTGGAAGAAACTGTCCCCAGGTGTGGGGCTCAGGATGATGACTTCATGGTCCTTCTTAGGTACCTGCAACAAACCAGGAAAATTATACCATATATCGCAGTCTGTAAAGTGACCCAGCCTATAATATAGGCGACCCTCCACAGCCCCCCACCCCCCTACACACACACACCTCTAAAAGCCTTCAAAATCAATGCTAATTTATGTAGACTGTCCGGAATGAAGCACATCACCAGCGCATACACAATCCCTACATCAGCAATAAAAATGTGTTTGTCTTCCGTAGTTTTCCCTTCAGGAAATTCACGTAAATGACCAGGTGATAACAAACTTTGTCAATACAAATTTGTCATTTGGTTAAAAATCATCAATAGTTAACTTTAAAGGAATTTTGATGCAATGATCGGAAGAACTGTATCTTATACTATTATTTCATCAGGAATAATACATTCTATTATGCCTCCCAAAACATTATCCTCTCACCAAGGGCTGATCCAGCATTTTTAAAAGGGAGGGGTCCAAAATAACAAAATCCTCTCTCTTGGTGGGGGTGGTGGCGGACCAATCCCATCAAAATCAGATCTTAGTTCTCGCTATCATTCAACAAAGATCTCAGGACATCCCATTACGGGTCACGTCAGAACGACTTTTCATCCGACCAATCAAAGCGTTGCTTACCAGATCATGAAAGTGACGGTCGGAATGTGTTGTCTAATCATGCAATCTCGAAAACGTTAACACGAGGTATTCCAAACGACAGCTACGGCCCGTACGAATGATTCCGTCAAAATTATCGTCTATCTCTCGCTTCCATGGGATAAATATTTTGAAAGGAGGAGGCCTTGCACAGTATGGGGGAAGGACTGCCATACAATCTCAACCATATATTAGACATTCTGGAATGTTCGTTAGTTCAGTTTTCAAAATTTTAATCGAGAACTGTGTCAACAAATTTTTCAAGAGTAATCTGAAATGGAAGTAACCAGGTTGAAACGAGTGCTGTAAAGTTCGAGAAAGCTGCTTTCTAATTGGCTAATAGTCATTTCAGTGGCCGGTCAAAGTTCACGAAAGGTCGTTCTGACATGACCCATAATGGGATGTCCTCAGATCTTTGCTTAGTGACAGTGATAACTCAGATCTGATTTTAATGAGATTGGTGGAGGACCCTCTGGATCCACCAATGCTCGCTGATAAATGTTGTACTTAGGGACTGACCTGTTTATATTCAGGGGGGAGGGGGCTGAGCTTTTCATTGGCAATGGATATTCTTTCAGTTATTTCTTTAAAAAACCAGTTTGTTTCTCTGAAAGAGGCACTGAACTGAGGAGTGCCACACCACACATTATTCTTCAGGACATCCCGCAGTGAACAAGTTATCTTTTTGTCTTGTTTAACTAATGCCACACTCAGCAATATTCCAGCTCTATGATGGCAGGCTGTAAATAATTGAACCTGGACCAGACAATCCAGTGAGTGACATCATGAGCATCAATCAATTCAACTGGGATATGATGACATGCATCAACCAAGTCAATGAGCCTGATCCGTTAGTCACCTCTTATGACAAGCATGGGTGGCAGAAGATCAATTCTAAACCGGATCTTCACCGGTACTTTTGTGTGTAAAACTTGAGGAGTACTTACCGGGGTATGTGTTTCAAACATTCTAGCTAAAAGGAAAGGGCGTATTTTTTCCCCAAAACTAATGAGTATTCCCTACTTCCAAGAATTTCAAATCTTCAGCCCCTTTGTAATAAGGTTGATGATGTTGAAAATTTCAAAAGAACTGTTAAAGGCTAAAAAAAACCTTGGTTCTCAGGCACTGCCAAACCATCACAAAGTCAGCCGCATGTTTCATTTTTATTTCAAATATCAAACAAACAAAAATAATAAAACATTACGCGTCTTGAACACACACGACCCCGGCAGTGAAATGCTACAATACTTAAAAACAAACACAATCCAATATAGCGTGCAGTTACTTCCCTTTACATGCGCACTGATGTACTGTGCATCTTGTGTTATATATTATGGTCATGACGGCAATAGTTGTGTGCTTGTTTTTCCGTTTGCAAATTTGGTCAATGAAAATATATAATTTCTGATAAAACATCACTAGATGTGATGATGTGTATTTGTCTCATAAAATTAGTAGTTTAAACAACAACCCACCCGCACTATATTTTCAAAAGCCATTGCCTTAGAACCAATTCTGTTATTTTGTTAAGCCTAAACTAGGGGTGTCACTGTATGCGTATTTAACAACTTGAGATATACACTTGGATTAAGTAAAGCACCATTCCTTCCTCATTTTCAGAGACTTTATATCCAGACATCATGAGCATCGATCCACGCAATGATGACAGCTAAGTCAGCAAGCCTGACCAGGTGGTCATGTAAGTCGCCCCTTATGACAAGCATAGTCAACTCTTACGACAAGCATAGTCAACTCTTACGACAAGCATAGTCAACTCTTATGACAAGCATGGGTTGCTGGTGCCACCAGCAGCCAAACCTCAGCACGCAATGTCCAGCTAGCGGTGCATGCTGACGGGTCCAAGATTCCTGAAGTTTGTCATTACCATCGGGGTTCTAAGAGCTCCAGGTCCTGAGCTAAAGTGCTTAATAATAGATATGTATGTTATACTCACTATACTAGCAATGGCCACAGCTGCCCCATGTGTGACTGTCAGCCCCATCGCGCTGTACACGGAGACGAGGTCGGTGAAGTAGTTGTTGTTGTACCTGCGGTAGTACTCCTCCGCCCCCTCCCTCCACGCCTCCACCACACCTGTACACAAGAGGAGGGGGTTACAGCTTCAGCAAGTCAGTATATCTTAAAGCTGCTTTCAGTTCACACTCATTTGGAATATATCAGATTACTGGAGACTCTCAACCGTTAAACATGTTTTAAACTTCCCTGATCAGTTTAGTCAGTGAGTGGGTTTGGTTGAACTGCGCTTTAAACAGTATTTCAGACATATTACGATGTGTCAGCTTATGTGGGTGAAAAGCCCCAAGTGCCACTTTCGGATGTTTACCACTTTGGAGAAACCATGGGAATGCAACTCTGTATAGCAAACTGGGCTACCTGTGCGTGTTACATCTGATGAGTGGTGGTGAAATGGTACAGTGTTGCTGTGAGTGAGTTGGTTTCAACACTACTGTGTACAGTACAGAAACAATATCAACTAGTGTCAGCTTATTAAGGGAGGAAAGCCTGAAATGCCTGAAAAGTTGTTGTTTAATGCCGCACTCAACAATATTTCAGCTATATGACGACAGTCTGTAAATAATCGAGGCTGGACAGACCATCCAGTGATTGATGTTATGAGCATCTATCTAGGAAACTGGAATATGATGACATGCATCAACCTAGTCAGTGAGCCTAATCCCGTAGGCCGCCTGTTATGACACACCTACTCGCCTGTTATGACACACCTACTCGCCTGTTATGACACACCTACTCGCCTGTTACTGAAGCATGGTTGCTGAAGACCTATTCTAACCCGGATTTTCATAGGTCACCACCATGTTCAATGGTTGGTGAGTGCGATGCTGACAAACCAAGAACAATAATCTGGGATTCGAACCCTCTATCATCAGATCATGGCACACCTAAGGGACACAACTCCACCCTCCAGAGTATTACATTAGAGATTACTGCATACTGAACCACTTTTGACATATTGGTATTAGTTTTCCCTGTCATCCCTGTGATCACCTGTCTGTTCTAAAGGGGTCATTGGTGTATTCAGTCATCACTGTCCATAAAGTCAAATCAAATCTCTCAATACAAACAGCGTAATGGAGGTTACTGACCATGGTATACGTGTGGACTGAGGAATCTGTGTACATGGGGGTGGATCTGGCTCGCCCCCCTGTGTGGGGACAGACGTTACTGACCGTGGCATACGTGTGGACTGAGGAATCTGTGTACATGGGGATGGATCTGGCTGGCCCCTGCGTGGGGACAAACGTTACTGACCGTGGTATATGTGTGGACTGAGGAATCTGTGTACATGGGGGTGGATCTGTCTGGACCCTACGTGGGGACAAACATTACTGACCGTGGTATATGTGTGGACTGAGGAATCCGTGTACATGGGGGTGGATCTGGCTGGCCCCTGCGTGGGGGAATATGTCCCACACCATCACCCGGTACTGAGCGGCGGGGTCACGCTGGTGGGCCACATCGAACCTGGACAATCAAACAGCATTAGGGACTGAGCATCTGACATTCTGGAACGGGGGCTGAGTCTTAAAAAAATAACTGTTAGGAAAAGGAAATAAATTGATTTGGCCTCACGTTTCACAAAGTAACAAATGCTGTCATATTGACCTTTTTCACACTTCGCTACATCTGGTTTGAAAGCGAGGCTTGGAGAGCAGAAGGTGAAGGCTGGATAGTACATGATACACATGGAGATGTCAACAAGGCATGGGACAAACTGTGTCAATTTAACCATTGTGTCAATATGCACCAGGTGCAAGTTAAATCAAGTTCCTTGAATGGAACCCTGCTAATAGAGTGTGGCAAGTTACTTTAGGATGAAATTTTATTAAAATCGGATCTTGACTCCAATTCAATATTTCGCTGAGTTTAGATCTGAAAAACCCTCCAGAGCAGGTCGTGTCAGGCGAACCCTGAGAACATCTGACTGCCCAATCTAAATGAAGGGAGTCAGGTTCTTGAACCAATCAAATGTTAACTAGCTTTCAAAAACAATGTGGCTTCATTTCTTTAACACGTTTGAGTAGTGGAGATCTATAAGTAAGGGGGACTGCGTGACGGTTGGGGCATCAACGTCACTAGTGTCAACGACCTACCACTTTTGCGAGAGTTTCATGAGGTCCATGAACTCCTCCCTGTTCCAGTTGAGCGGGTGATGTTTCTTGAACATGAACAGGGCATGCCACTTCTCCATCTTGAAGGTGTTGGACGCTGTGTAGGACATGGAGGACTCCAGGCGGTGAGTCTCGTGCTCAGCTGTAAAACTGGGAACATAACGGCATTGTTTCGTGGGACATTGTCACTGGAATCTGAGTTTCATCTCGAAGAGATTCTAGCATCATGATCATCATAACTTTCTGTGCAACGTATACCTATGACAGTCATGGCTCTAAGATCTTTTCCAGACCTAAAACCCATGTGCCCGTTCCATCGGGTGAACTTGCAAAATATTTGAACATTTTGCCAAACTGTTTAACACACACAAAAATAAATAATAAAGCTACAAAAAATAATATTCTTGGTTCTTAGGCACCACCCGCATAATCATAAAGTTTGCCGCATGTTTCGTTATTATTTCCATTAAATAAAAAAATCCTTAAATAGTCCCTGTCCAACGGTGGTCAAATACTGTATTCCAGTATTTCACTCATCAAGAAATACATTTATGTAGGGTGGCCCTTTCCCAGGTTCATTGTACACAACTGTTTATTTGGTTACACAACTGTTTATTTGGTTACACAACTGTTTATTTGGTTACATACTAGTTTCAACAACCCCTCCACCCCCAAAAAACACTGCCCGCCCGCACTATATTTTCAAAACCCATTGGCTGAGAACCAATTCTTATATTTTTTTAAGCCTAAGTATTTTTTGTCTTAGAGTACTAAGGGACTGGTCATTTATTATAGGGGGTGGTGGGCCAGCGAGATTGGTGCAAGGACAGTAACACATTTTGTTTACCCTCCTCACATTCTACTGTAACACTGTTTCCTTGCAATTGGTGTTTGGGGAGGAGGTACAATGTAGTTCTGAACACAGTGCCAAAACCTTCAAGAATCTTAAATAAAAATAATGTTTCCTCGTATTTTTTGCTGTCATAATCCCTCGGTACTTACTTTTTATAATTGCAGAAATCACAGGATTCCCTACTGTTCACAATCAGTCTTTCGACACTGAAACAAAAATATAACACTGTCTAGAAAGTAACCAAGAACGTGCACTTGCCTGAATTAGCTATAACATACAGTAATACCCTCCATTTTTCTATATAAGAGATGTCAACTTCTCAAAATCTCCCCCCCCTCAAGTCACAGGACAGGCAACCTGAAACATGACTATGAGACAGTACTCTGTCAATGAAACACAAATGTACGAGTTATAACATCAATCATTTAATGGTATAATTGCATTGGTAAACAGCTGACAACGACATTAAAATTAAACAACAGGTTACAGCATTGGGACACCCATAAAAAACATGCTTTACTGATGCAAATGTCCAAACATGCAAAGAAACAGCATTAGTAGCGTGAGAGTCCCTAGCCTGATAAACGGCTTGGAAACAATGTGTATGTCTCTATGTCTTTGGATTTGCTGTTGGGAGGCACGGGTGGCCCAGTCATCTAAGGCGCCACAATTCGCTGTGCAGAGTTGCATCACTTGGGCATGCCAGAAACCTATGATTGTGGGTTCGAATCCCAGTTCACCCCAATTATGTTTCTAGGTTTGTCAGCACCATTCCCGTGCTCATTGGTTTCACCAAAGTGGTAAATGTCTGAGACCTGCATCACTTCGGGCTTTCCTCCCACATGAAGCTGAAACGCCATGATATAACTGAAATACTGTTAAAAGACCTGTGTCTAAGACTTCCACTGCTCAATCAAGGCTATGTAATATCCTGTAGACTTTGTGGCTGAAGAGGATGTTTGATATGGAAACCTGCAACAAGTCCAAAACATGTTCTGTTGGATGAAGATGCGGAGAACGTGCTGGCCAGTTACAGACACGATGAGGTCAGGCGTTATCTTCCATCAGAATAAAGCTGTGTCCTACGTATAGCACCATCACAGGGTCAGACACAGATGTTAAGGACTTCACCTCAATACCTCAAACCAGTCATGGTACCCCGGCGGAGCACATGCAGATCCGTTCTTCCATCCCAGCTGATTCGGCCCCAAACCATCAGTGAACAGCCACACTATCGTTCATATTGAGTGATGTCGGCATCCTGACCACGATCCCCACATTGCCTCCACACCTATATGATCTACACAAAACCTGGACTGGTCAGTAAAAAGTACTGACGTCCAGTCCCTGATGGTCCATCAGGACATGTTGCTGTGTCCATTGAAGACGTGCACGCCGATGCTTCGGTGTCAGTGGACTCCCTATGAATGCTCTTTTAGCATGGAGACCAAAGTCGTGCAGACGTCTGCACACCGTCTGGGTGGATACGGTCACTCCAGGGATGGAGAGTAGGTCTGAACACAACCGCGTGCTGTCATCAGATAGTTCGACAGACTTGAAGATGTAAACAGTTGGTTTCTCAAATATAAAATAAAATTGAAATTGACAAATATTTACGTCTTCCTGTTCAGTAATTTTAGCAATGTCAACAACAATCTTCAAAGACTTCCATTCCCCCCCAAAAATACTGTTCGGGATGACATTAAGACAAGAATGACATCAAACTTTTTTTTTCTTTCTCTTATGAAAGGAATGAAATCTGTAAGCCAAATAATATAATAAACACATTACTATTGTCTCTCCGGCTCAGCGGGTGTTTTCATGGGCCGTTTATCCCTCAGTGGGTTGAAGATGTTGTATTCCCGGGTAACCCGATTGAAAACATGAGTCACTTCCTGCAAAAACAAATAAGCACATTATTTCTTTGTTGTTTTACGCTGTAATCAGCAACATTCTAGCTATATCATGGATTCTTATAAACAACCAAGTAACGGCCAGATAAACCCGTGATTGATATGAGCATCATCCCTCATCCTGGGGTATGATGAGACCCTGAGCCTATACACCTGATCCAGTTTACCGGGGCCAACTTGCACAAAGCAATCTTAGCGCTACGACTATTGTAAGCCTATGTTAAAGTATGGGACGGTGTGACAAGCGAACGCTTGAACCACTAGGCTACCCGACCGCCCCTTATGAGCATCGATCCACACAATTGGGATATGATGACATGCATCAACCAAGTCAGCAGCCTGACCACCAAATCCCGTTAGTCGCCTCTTATGACAGGCATAGTCGCCTTTAATGGCAAGCATGGGTTGCTGAAGGCCTATTCTACCCTGTCTAACTCGGAAGAAGCAATCACCACTCAACAGGTGATTCCGTTAAAAAGTACCCCTTATCTTTACAAGCACATTCACTGAAGTGACAGTCAACTGTTTAGATAATGAATGATTGCACTGCAGTGTTCGCGTTAACGCGGTCCTGCGTTTTCTACGCATTAAAATCATATGAACACGCAAAAAATATTTTGCATGCATGTTTTGCACGCACAGATTGTGATATACTTAATTTTGTATCAATACAATAAAATAAAAAACTATTCAAAGCTGATAGCCTGCTTACGATGTTCAGACGAAAATAAATCAAAACCTGGAAATTCCCATTGCTAAAAATAGAGTGTGGCCAGATGGCGCTTTGAATTGCGTCCTTTATATTTCCATATATGGTCTTTGGGCAACGGATAACTAATCTCAGACACAGGACCTCATTCGTTACTATCGATGGAATTCCCTGGAAGTTGTTCGTTTCATCCAATCAGTGCCCAGCTTACAAGTAATAGTCGGTAGTACGAACGATCATAAACAGAGCGACGGAAGAAAACTTCCACACATGGGCATGTGCTAACAACAGTCATATTTATTTTATTAATGATTGAACGTTCATTATATCAAAACTGGACCGTAAGTTAAAGCTTGGTCATAATTAATAGCTGTACTAGTACTGATTTTATTGAAATAAAAACTTCACACGCGAAATATTTGAATTGAAAATTTATTATTTCATTTCTGCACGCACTGTACAAAAACCTACCACGAACACTGCATTGTAATATCATTTTCCAGAAGAGTGTGATGTAACACTCAGTAGATTGGTGATGTTTGAGGTTATAACAAACAAAAAGATTTGAAAAATGTGTGGTCACCTCTTACGATAAGCATGAGATACTGGGAACCATTTCAGGATAACCGCAGGGTAAATTATCCCGAGGCAAACGACTTAAACTTACCCTATCAATAAACCTACAAACTCATTTAACAAGGTGACAGATTTCTCTAGAACTATCTTGAACTTTCTCTTGAACTATAAGATACTGTTTCCGTGCCTCATAGAAAGGTGGGTGGGTGAGTTCAGTTTTATGCCGCTTTTAGCAATATTCCAGCAATATCACGGCGGGGGACACCACACATTGTACCCATGTCGGGAATCAACCCGGGTCTTCGGCATGACGAGCTAACGCTTTAACCACTAGGCTACCCGACCGCCCCCTCATAGAAAGGACCTACATACCTGTACAATGGTTTATTTTCAGTCAGGTAATTAAATAAGGTGGTGCGTAACGCAAGACATCTTCCCACGGCAAGGGAGTTAACTGACAGTAAAAGTCCAGTTTCCACCCTTGCTGAACTAGGCTGGAATTTCTGGCCCCAATTGTAGCGCCATCAGTGGCTATTACGAATTATGTCCCCTCTATGTCCCTCCTATTGACCAATCAGATTCCACCTTTCATATCACTTGCATTTGCCTCAAACAAAATAGTGGCACACAGTCAAGAAGATGTGATCGATACATGTCTTACTTCGCAAAGTGTATCAAATCCTGTGAGCACAAAAACATGAATAGATTAAGAAAATATCTGTTGACGCCGAGCTGGCGGTACAGTCTTTGCAAATCCTGCAATCAACCAAAATGTGCAAGGTAGTTTACAAACCGGATGTCGATTTCGCTATGCCATTTTGATTAGACAAACAGTCCGAACAAAATGTAACTCCATATTTCCAGCCTAGTTCAGCAACGGTGGAAACAAGACTTTTATAGTCAGTTAACTCCCTTGCCTCAGGAAGATGAACTCAAGGATGTCAAATGAGCCTAGCTCCATGCAGTAACTTTGTGTGAACCCTACCATTGCCTGACATTGAAGCAGTGTGTAGAGTAGGGGCCACAAGGCCATGGCCTATGTTTCACGAGACATAGAGCCAATCTCTCCTACCCATGAAGTATTGATTATGAAATATTCATGTGTACACTATTACTCCCAGTATACCTGCTTATACACCTGCTGGAAGAGCTCTTCATTGTTGCCAAGCCAATTCTTCACCTTGGCTTTGAATGGATTTGGTAAAATAAGTGGCGTCGGTCTCTTTGACACAGAGAACATAGCTGCAAAGCGTTGGTATAGATCCCTGGGGGAAAAATGAGACAAACAGACAATAATACAAAACTGGTCTTCAGATACTTTTAGTCCATTGTCCATCATGCATTAAACCAACTTAATTACCTAATTCACAGATCCAGCGTTCACTTTTCCCCCATTTTCTCAAATGCCGAATCACCCCTCCCCACCTTTCCCTCTCTCCCTTTCCGCATCAAAAACTAAAAAATATCTGCCATTGGAAATAAGTGTCTAGTTTTGTGTCTAACTCATAATTAATAGTCAACAGTACAAGTATTTTCTTGCCCACGCACTCCAGATGAACCAAAAATGGTGAGGGTGTATTATGCACAAGAACATACTGAACTAGACACAAAGCAGTAATAAATTTTGATATTTATCAATTTATTCAAAAAGAGAGTTGTACTTGTTACTTGTTTCTGTTTGCCTTCAGGTATTTGGGGGATGAAAAAACTATGAAACAAGTACTTAAATTGGCCTGGTTGCATGTGACTATATGACTACTTGAAATTCTTATTGAAATGTTATATTCTTGTGGTTACTATTAATAAAGTATCATCTTACATAGTTCAGATAATATTTGACACTAAAGTTCAAGGACACTGACACTGCAGTTCAAGGACACTGAAGTTCAAGGCCACTGACACTGAAGTTCAAGGACACTGACACAGAAACTGACACTGCAGTTCAAGGACACTGATAATGAAGTTCAAGAATACTGACACTGCAGTTCAAGGACACTGACACTGCAGTTCAAGGATACTGACACTGCAGTTCAAGGATACTGACACTGCAGTTCAAGGATACTGACACTGCAGTTCAAGGACACTGACACTGTAATTCACTGTCGGCTGGTGGGAATTTGTCTGCTAAACCAGGGATTCATCTGACTGGCTCAAAGGCACCTGGCAGCAAGTGTCAGTAAAAATTAACAACTTTGAATGAAATATTTCCAATTTTATGCTGTTATAGTTAATTAAGGTTGTGGCTTTTTTAGGTGAATAGTACTTTACTGATAAAAGGACACCAACATTGGGGAAAAGGCTTCAACAGCGCAACAAGAACAGCACCAGACACAAGTCAAACCAGTCAAGATTATAGTCCATAATAGCAAATTTTGAATCCATGAAGAATACTTTCAAAGTTGGAGTGTATTTTCCCTTTAATGTTTATTATGCTTAACTTAACATTATTACATTGAAAGCAATGTTACATTTCAATGTTAAAATATCTATGAATTTAGGAAAATGATTACTTTAAAAAAATCTAATTTTGAACACGATAACGATTTTCCCAAATTTGCCTGCCTGGAATCCTATATATCTGTTATATATACAAATGTATCCATTTAAACTCAAACTGACCACATGGTGAGTGAGTGAGTGAGTTTGGTTTTACGCCGCTTTTAACAATATGACCACATGGTGAAATACTGCCAATCTGGCAGTACCCCTGAATCTCAGTACAGTGAAGTGTGAATTTGGCGTGGTAGTTATAAACTCAAATACCACAGACAAGTTAATAACTATGTTGACTTGATATATAATGTTTTAATGAACCAAAGAACATATATAACACTGTGGTTACAAGCACCATACCTGCATTCAGACTTTGAAGATTGTCCCCACTCCTTTACAAAGGTATCCAACTTCGCTATTGACATATCCGTCATACGGAAGCAACGCTCATCAAAATATTCCTGAAATATAAAACATATTTACATAAACAAACCAATTCTAACATGACACCAGGAACAGAACACTATATATACCCCTGTTCATTCTCTTGACTACTAATCACTGCTAATTGGTCAAAACATAAACATTGACCATATGTTTGAAAAAAAAGCATCTAATAAAAAAAAGTATCATATATTAATAATTGGTCATGAATAAAAAAAAATCACACAGAGAGCATTCTTGTCATTAATACTTAAGGAAAATAACAATAATATTTCCAAGCCAAGGTGTATAAATTTGTGAATTCCAATTTTTGCCAGGATGTTTCTGAAGTCCAAATGATGACACCTTCAGCGCTATATCACTGTATTTGTAAGCAGTTACATGAAGCAGTGTTAAACCCAGCCCATTCACTCATAACCTAGTAGGGGGCACGGGTGGCCCAGTCGTCTAAGGCGCCACGATTCGCTGTGAAGAGTTGCGTCCCTTGGGCACGCCAGAAACCTATGATTGTGGGTTCAAATCCCGGTTCGCCCCGATTATGTTTCTAGGTTTGTCAGCACCATACCCATGCTCGTGGGTTTCACCGAAGTGGTAAACGTCTGAGACCTGCATCACTTCTGGCTTTCCTTCCACATTAAGCTGACACGCCGTGACATAACTGGAATAATGTTAAAAGCGGCGTTAAACCCAACTCACTCACTCACTCACTCACTCACTCACTCATAACCTAGTACCTGAGTGAACACTGTCTCCGTTGTGAACTGTGGCCACACCGAGTACACGCTGTCCGTTGTGAAGGAGGTCGCTGTGTGGAAGCCATGGCATGATGGGTAAAACCACAAATACCCCAGCAAAGGGATTGTTATAAATATACACAAAATAAGACACTTCCGTGGCCTTATAGTAGAGGACATCCTGTCATCTCTCAGCATCATTCCAAAAGGGCTTGTTTGTCTCCAGATGCCTTTATGTCACCATCGTGAAGTGTCATCATAGAAGCTTATCTGGAAAAGGCAATAATTAGTGTGAATTTGTTTGTTTGTTTGTTGTTTAACGACGCACTCAGAAACATTCCAGCTGTATGACGGAAGTCTGTAAATAATCGAGTCTGGACCAGACAATCCAGTGATTGACATCATGAGCATCGATCCACACAATTGTAATACGATAACATGCATTAACCAAGTCAGCGAGGCTGACCACCTGATCCTGTTAGTCACCTTTTACGCCAAGAATAGTCCATTAATTTCAGTGTGTTTCAATGATGTGTCCACTGGAATATGTAAGGTGTAAGATTTTTCTTTAGAAAATTCAGGGGGGTGGGGGGGGTGCTTCTTAAAATCATACACGAGTTACATTTTCTGTCATAGCTGTCACAATATGGCTGAAATACTGCCGACGTGAATCTAAATTTTAACTCACTCACTGTCATAGATGGAGTAGGAGAGACAAAAATAATAGTGCTATAATAGTAGACCTGGAGATTGACAACTTTGATTGTATTCCTGTGGTACGGTAAGTATTTCTTAAATGCTGCCATCAATATTGTTGTGTGATTTTCTTGTATGATAACCTTTACTTTTGTGCACTCCAGTGAATCAATAAACAACCAGAGCTCCAGATAACTTTTTGAGCAATTGAGTTGTTACTCTAGGGTTTCTATTTAAATTGGGTTACTACTTTTTTCATTGGGTAACCAATATATTTTCACTCATTTATTCATCACTTTGGGTTTTTCCCAAAAGTAGTGAATATTTTAAGATTTAAAAAAATATGAAATAATGTTTCAGATGTATATAACTGTTCTAAATAAATAGGCTTGACCCGGAAAATAAATTAGCTCGTAATTGTGTTTCAGAAATTAGCTCCTTTGTACACATGCTGAAAAATCTTCATTGGTAATTTACGCGACATTTTAGACATTTGAGTTTTTCATTTAATGCAAGCTTTTCTGTACGCAAGTTAACTGAAAGTAAGTGGGTTCTGAATATTTTGGGGGGTATTTTACACAAATATGCTGCTTATCTGTAGCTCTGAACAACTGTGCCTACATTCATTACTTTGATGCAAAGATTTACCGAAATTTATCTGCAAACCACTACTGTAAAACTGTCATTATTCTTGATATGCATCAAAACCAGAACAATATCCCAATGATTACCATTTTGTATAGCCCATGGTAGATGTTTATGAATGGAACAGTTTGACAAGTCACCATTTGATATTGTCAGACCATTGCATAATCTTGAAAAAGGGAAACCCACATAAGATGAGGTCAGGTCATAAGGGGTTTAACGTAATGTTCAAGTTATTTCACTGATGTAGCGACATCCTAAAATAAAGCGTCAGATTGACTTTTGATGCCCGTGGTTCAGCATATGTCACATTATGGCATTTATGAATATGGATTCATTTCATTTCAGGCCATGATAATACTAGCAATGTGATTAGTCTAGCCAGTGTTGTAAATAACAGTGCATTGGTGCTGATCTCTGCCACAAGAAAATTCACCATATTAAGGATATCATGTATATTAATTTAAATGTTGAATAATATAACTGCAGTAATGAAATGCATCATTTATACCAAAACATGGACACAGTTTACCATTTAGTTGAAAACTACTAATGGCGTACCTCAAAATGGATTTACTGACCTGCTATTGTCAGTGTTTACATGCTAGCACTTAAACAAGATAGTAACAGAAATGTTTTTGCTTTGTTAAAAAATATCCAATACTACCCATAAAGGTAGAATTAATGAGTGTAATAACTATCAGATATATGCATTTAAGCGATACTCAATCCGATTGCCCAGTTGAAACCATATGATGTCACGGGGCTCCATTGCTGAGAAAAATATGATCTGACTTCACTAATTGATTACCTTACATCATTGGAACAAAAGCCTGACTAGAAAATTGACAAGGGGTGGCACTTATTAAAACCATACACAACATATATATTTGTTTTCAGAAATCAAGAAGTGGTAAACAAACTTATTTCAAACATCAATAAAACTCACTAGTTTTTAATAACATAAACACGAAGATAAATGGTAACTTCGGTTTAGGTAGGGGGAGCTTACAAAGATTACAGATTGGTCTATTGGGAGCAGGGCATTTAATACGGTGAATACTGTAAATCATCTTCCCGAGGCAAGTGAGTTAACTGACTATAAAAGTCCAGTTTCCACCCTTGCCGAACTAGGCTGGTATTATGGAGTTACATTTTGGCTGGACTAACGAGTCTATGCATAGTCCAATCAAAATCGCGCACCGAAATCGAAATCCAGTTCATAAAGTGTCATGCAGATTTCGGTCGACTGCAGGATTTGCAAAGCATGTGCACTGCTAACTCGTTGTCAACAGATATTTTCTAAATCTTTTCATGCTTTTAATCAAGGTGCTCACGTGATTTGATGCACTTCGCGATGTAAGACTCGTTTTATCACAATATAGATCTTGAAATCAATCAGATCGTCTTGACTGGGCGCCATCGTTTTGTTTGAAGCAAATGCAAGTGATGCGAAAGGTTGAATCTGATTGGTCAATAGGAGAGGCATAGCAAGGACATAACTCGTAATAGCCACTGGTGGCGCTACGATCGAGCCCAGGAATTCCAGCCTGGTTCGGCAAGGGTGGAAACTGGACTTTTAAAGTCAGTTAACTCTCTTGCCTCGGGAAGTTGACTGTAAATATACACTTCCCCAAGTGTATTGAATGTAAAAACATGAGTATCCTACTCAGGAAAATATTAGGGATCAATTTTAAGAAACTTGATTTAACTTGCACTAGATGCATGTTGCCATGAAAACCAAGTTGATCCCAACAAAATCAGGTTGCACCCCGGTCACTTAAATTTATCAAAGTTAAAACATAGGCTGGTCTGCTGCCTGTGTCACATAAATTAATGATGCATTGCTGCAAAATGTAATAGGAACATTGCACACAATCTTAAACCCACAGTTTGATGACGCCAAGCCCAAGAAAGCATGAGAAATTACCCTTTACACAAGGATGTGGTATGGTCAATAAACCTCAGAGGTACTGACTGAGTTCAAAGATCGATTTTGTATGTGGACAATTTAGTTACTCCAAGACAAATTTGATATTTTTTTACAAGCACTTATTGCATGTAGATAAAAATATTAGTTTGCATTTTTCAATAATAGGTTGCATGCTTATAAAGCTTAATCGAGCCCTGAATAAGGACTGTCATTAAACTTTGGGGGGTTCTGTACACATAGTACAGGGTGCTAATAAAGTTTACTTGCAGATTTGTCAAGGGTGATTGGGGAAGTCAAAATCTTAAGTCACATCATCATTTCAGCCATATCATGACCGTTGCCATCTTCCCGAGGCAAGGGCATCAACTGATTATAAAAGTCCAGTATCCACCCTTGCTGAACTAGGCTGGTATTACAGTGAGTGAGTGAGTGAGTTGGGTTTAATGCCGCTTTTAACAGTATTCCAGTCATATCACGGCGTGTCAGCTTAATGTGTGAGGAAAGGCTGAAGTGATGCAGGTCTCAGACTTTTACCACTTCAGTGAAACACATGAGCACGGGTATGGTTCTGACAAACCTAGAAACATAATCGGGGCGAACCAGGATTCGAACCCACAATCATAGGTTTCTGGCGTGTCCAGGGGACCCAACTCTGCACAGCAAATCGCGGCGCCTTAGACGACTGGGCCGCCCTTGCCCCCTCTGGTATTACAGAGTTACAACAAGTACAATGTTTTAACGTCTTTTGGACCTTCCGCTCTCTGGGTGGACGCTCTACCATGTGAATACAGTACTTGTACTTGAACGTTCAATGACTTACAACAACTATTCTAAATATTATAACCATGCAGGGCCAATGTTTGATTAAAACTTTCAAGTTGCAGATCCTGACACAGATTCCTGGTCGGCTAAACCATCGGTTACTCCAGTTTGTGACAGTAACATGTTAATGTGGTATGCCATTTGCTTTCCAATCTAACCATTGGAATCTATTTTAGTCGATAGCAGTGATGGTACTAAGTTTGCACTTTGTAAGGAAATGACAAAGGGATAATATTCTAAAATAACACGTGCACTTAATCAACAGTTGCAATTACTAGAATCTACCTGTTAATTAAGGCTGGGGGCGAGTCCAAATTTACAACCCGGGTACCCACCACGCTATTACCCAACCCTACCCGGATACCGGCTATATGTCTCTAGACCTTGGTGTAAAAAGTCCGATTTGGAATAGTTTTACCATAGCCCTGGTAAAATGTATTTAGATACACATATAAAACGATCTGGCCATGCATACACTGAAGTTGACTGAAGTTTTAGCTTTATTCAAACCTATAAAGGTCAGAAGGAATGGGTGCATAGTCAGAAAGAAATGCGAACAATAGTGACTTGTAGTGTAACCATAAAGTTTTAGATATTTTTTGTCATGAAACAATATATCACGTGACTAACCACGGGCAAGGGTAGTCCCGGACCCTACTCAGTACCAACCCTACCCGAGTACCCGTGTTACCCGTCCCAGCCCTACTGTTAATACTAGAATCTACCTGTTAAAACCGAAAGGTAGGACACTAAAAACATTTATTTTCACAGAATCATGCATCATGTTATGATAAAAATGCACGTAAGAGTTCTAAGAATGTACGAGCGCCTGTGCACCATCTGACATGGGCGGCGGCCGGGCAGCTAGGAAAGGTGTGTATTCATCATGATCACAACTTAATCACACCCTCAAATCATGACATTTTCGAAAGAATATAATTCACATTATGTAGAAAATCATGATCCATAAATAATTTTGTAGGATAATTACGTACCTAATTCCACCATCAATAAGGTCGTTCTGCATGCTTTATTGATTCAGGTTGTTTTGCAAGCTCCTTCCCAGCGCGTGACATAGTATAGAGAGCTCCGCGAACAGACTATCGCTGTGAGGAGCTTGGTTGTTTTGTTGAAATCGTCATCAATAATGCGAAAATCGAGAGAGAGAAAATCCGGTGTGCGAAAAGAGTTTGTGTTCAACCAAATATGTACGTCCGTGGTTCAACTTATTCTACTAAATATTCTAATGACAAGGTAGCATGACTGAACAACTTCTGCTGTCGCTTCCGTGTAGATTCCCTTTTATCGGGAAACATAGCAAGTAGTAAACTGCTGTAAAAATATCCACAATGCATGTAAAATTTATTTAAACTGTAGTCGATATAGCTGTTGGCCTGAGTATTTGTTCTACGTTGAAGTCCTTTATATTATTGACTCAGAGCATACAATCCCTATCTCATGTCTGTTAATTGATATTTCGAAAGAGTTGCGTGTATTTTGGGGGATATCATGTTCAACGTCAGAAGCAGACCAACCATCCATTCATATTAGTAATATGTCGTACAGGAAATAGTATCATAGCTTGTTCACCCGCAAGCTCCATTCGTGACCAACTTGTGTTATTCCGGTTACGGAAAGGGACGAGTGGTGACGAATGCCGCAAGCTCCTTCCCAGCGCGTGACACCTTCGGTAGTGGAGCTCGCGAATGGGAGCTTGGTTCACGCGCTCCGCCACAGCGTGTGCAATATACCGCTTAAACTGTACACTGGTTCCCAGTCATTGCGCCGTCCGACACCCACTCCAAACACGATCGGACAATCAAATGACATCATTAATGGCTCGGCTACTGAAGCTGTTAGCGGTACTTTTTACACTTACGACTTACGCAATACTGTCTACAAACTGGCAGAATGATGTTGGATGATAAATAAAATATCTCCCTTGTATCTTAGATAACAAATATATCAACACTCAGAGTTTTTCCTCTTTTATCAACTTGATTGGTTGGTTGTTTAACGCCGCACTCAGCAATATTCCAGCTATATGACGGCGGTCTGTAAAATAATCGAGTCTGGACCAGACAATCCAGTGATTGACATCATGAGCATCGATCCACGCAATTGGGATCGATGAGATGTATCAACCAAGTCAGCGAGCCTGACCACCCGATCCTGTTAGTCGCCTTTTACGACAAGCATAGTCGCCTTTTACGGCAAGTATGGGTTGCTGAAGACCTATTCTACCCCGGAATCTTCACGGGTCTGATTGGTCAATGGGATGGACACAGAAGGGTACACAACTCGTAATGGCCACTGGTTCCGCTTTGATCGAGCCTACTTCCGAAATTCCAGCCTACTACGGCAAGGGTGGAAACTGGACTTTTACTGTCACACACACACACACACACCTATGGATCAGATTTCCTGCCTGCATGCAGATTTCAAGCCTATATTATCTCCCATTTCCTTTATTACGTGGGTTGCTATTGGTATGTGTCTGTAGACTTAAAGGGGAACCAGGTTGGGGCAAATTGGCAGCCCCAGCTTGACCGAGTAGTTGTAACGTCACCTCCGCTATGATAACAGCCATGTAAAATTTGAGGATTAGCCATATCGGCAAAAAAGAAGTAGGCATCTCCATGGGCTCCAATGGGTTGCTGAAGACCTATTCTACCCCGGATCTTCACGGGTTCCGAGGCAAGTGAGTTAACTGACTATAAAAATCCAGTTTCCCGAGTTTTACGGTCAGTTACCCCCCTTGCCTCGTGAAGATGTCTCCATTATATTAACGACATTAAAACATGACGGCTGTCTTAATTCGTTCTATTTGAATCGGGCTCAAACCGATGCCATGGTAGCTAATGTTCAGTGTAGTTATCATAATAGAATGGAGGTATGATACCCTGGATTATTATTACGAATATGTAGATATTAAAACAGCTTTTTGAGTTATCTACGGTTATTGATAGCCGTAGCGTAGACTTGAGACCATATATAGATTAACGCTTAGTCTCTGAAAATATATAATTTTTTATAAAGTTAAATATCTCTATTTAAAGAGAAACGGAATCACGGTGAGATGGGAGATTCAGAACCTAAGGAAACTCTAGACTTGCTTCGTTTGGGGATTTTGGATAACAGAAAGGGCTGGGCGGAAAGGAAAATAATATGGTTCCGGGACTGTGAGACAGACTCGTCGTAGCACTAAGATCGCTTTGTGTAAGGGGGCCCAGGGTGTCGCTGTACAAAGCGATCTTTTGCGCACAGGTGGTCGTATGTAATGGCCCGTTTTGACTAGGCCCGTTTTGACTAACCATCTGTATCCGATCCACAATTTTATTTCAACCCACTCTCTGCGGGCCACTTTACCAGTTATCTTTATATGTAATAAAATAATATTTATGAAAACGTTGCGAGATTTTTTTACATTGATTAGAAAAATTGGTCCGGCTAGTCAAATTGGTCCTCTACAGTCGTAACTCCGATACCTTCACATAAACTTCCGACAGTCGTAGCGCTTAGGTTGTTTTGTACAGGTGAGGTGAAATGAGGATTAATGTCGCGTCCAAGATTATTGCACTTATATAGCGACGTGCATGCACGTGTGTGTGTGTGGCTACTTGTACTAGTCCGGACTGATGCCGATTCATAGTGCTAGTACACTGAGATACCATGCCGCAGTTTAACATGAATCCCGACCCGACTAGTACTTGTTTTAGCCCCTTAATGCCGAGCGCCAGACAGGGTAACAACAAGTACCATCTTTTAACGTCTTTTGGTATGACGCGGCCGGAGATCGAACCCCGGACCTTCCACTCTACCACTAGACCATGGAGGCGGCAAATTCAGTATGGAATTAAATATTAAATAAATATATATTTTCTCAACAATGAAACAAAGAATTTGATAACAATACGTTTTTAAAATTGGACGGGGCGGTCGGGTAGCCTAGTGGTTAAAGCGTTCGCTCGTCACGCCGAGGACCTGGGTTCTCGTCCCGACATGGGTACAATGTGTGAAGCCCATTCCTGGTGTCCCCCCGCCGTGATATTGCTGGAATATTGCTAAAAGCGGCGTAAAACCAAACTCACTCACTCACTACTAGACACTTTGGTTATCTCACGTAGTTCGATATAAATTTCCTCGTAAACAATAATAACTCCATGGAATTCTTATTTAATCATTAACACACACAAACCGAAGACAATATTCGAAACAAGTGACATCGTTTAACGCAATAATGTGACACAAGCCACGCCCATTCTATTTTCAACCAATCGGGACAAAGGTCTGCTAGTGGGCGTGACCTAACATTTTTTCGCAACATATTGCTCAGCTTGCCAATCAAATGCTTGCAATTGATTGATTCAAGTGTAGCGTTACCAATCGTTTAAAATCTGCAGGGCATGGGTTTTGGAACATTGTATTTTTTATTTCTTTTTTAATCCCAGAATTAAACATTAGAATGGCTGAAGCCAAGGACCTAACTACGGGTATTCCTGGCACATGTCGTTACTGCAAGAGCGATACACACACTCTCCATTGCTCAGCAAATCGGTAACTGTCTACACGAAAAGAACAGCGGTTACCAGTTTGGAGCTACGTCATCGGTTGTTTTTTTGCGAACTCAGTCGGCCAGCCTCGTCCCTTTCCGTAACCGTCCATTCACCACTTGCCCCTTTCCGCAACCTGCAAGAAGATTCGGCTTGACCCGGAATAACACGAGTTTGTCACGAATGGCCTGCCGGTATCAAGCTCCTGCCCAGCGCATGACACCTCCGTGAACGGGATATCGCTGTGGGGAGCTTGTTCCGGTTTCATTGTCACTGTGAGGAGCTTCAGCAACACACCGTTCGATGTCAACAAATGCCGGGTGCACATGTCATTGAACCACGCTGGCGGGAATCACAGATAATACCTGTCAACAACGAAAGTTAAAGAAATGTTGATTTTTTCGGCAACTAGTTAAATAAGGTGCATAACTGCATTATTATTTTTCAGTGATAGGCCATTTCTTTACGTGCCTTTTTCGCTTTCCCGTGCATCGTCATACGCAGTGTTTATAACTTCTTTGAGAGGCATTTAGTAGCTACTTGTCGACTCATTAAACTGTCCATGAAAACAAGCAGAGACCTACCAAACTTCGGACTATCTGCACATTTTGCATAGACGATACAAACAAGACATAATTCCCATAAAGTTTGCATTTTAATGAAAAGAACCTGGCACATTTTCAATGAAACCCAACACAGTATATCATGTTGACCGCAACAAAAGGTTACATGCTGCATGAATTTCTGTGTTTGGTTTCTTTGAGTGAGTGAGGTTTAACACCGCTTTCAACAGTATTCCAGTTATATCACGGCGTGTCCATTTAATGTGGGAGGAAAGCCCGAAGTGATGCAGGTCTCAGAAGTTTACCACTTCGGTGAAACCAACGAGCACGGGTATGGTGCTGACGAACCTAGAAGCAAAATCAGGGCGAACCGGGATTTGAACCCACAATCATAGGTTTCTGGTGTGCCCAAGGGACGTAACTCTGCACAGCGAATCACGGTGCCTCAGATGACTGGGCCACCCGTGCCGTCTTGTCACTTTGAAAAAGTGCCGGGTTCCTTTCACCACAGTGCAAGTTAACATAATGGAGATTGTTTCTTGTTCGTGACTTGTGTGGCTATATCTCTTTAAAGTGTGTACATATTCCATAGTTTGGTAGCTCTCTGCTGGTTTTCTCTGGCAGCCCTGAATAAACCCTACAAAGTAGCAATTGAAGGGTGCCTAGAATAAAAACCTAGTCGTTCAAAATAACAACTACAGGTACGCAAAAAGACACAAAAAATACCAGATGAACAATAACAGATTTAAAATGCTAAACAAAACTTCAATAACCAGCTTATGTACTTTCTGAAGTATTTCCCGGTTGGCTATTCATATCATAACATTCACAGTCCCCTTTAGCCCATATTTTCCAGACTAGTTCGGCAAGGGTGGAAACTGGACTTTTATAGTCAGTTAACGCCCTTGCCTCGGGAAGATGCAAGTCTTATGATACTTTAACTATTGGGCAGTTTGGCAAGGACTAGGACAAGGGCCAATTTCTATCGCTGCAAACGATACCTCGAGTAGACCACCACTTGAATTTACATTGTTTGTTAAATATGTGTGTCTTGTGATGTCTTTGCAGTGAAGATGGGATCAAAGGTGAAACAGAAGCACCTGCTGCTGCTGCAGAGGAAGGTTGGGGAGAAAATGGAGGCACTCCGGGAACAGCGGGACATCCTTCAGTCCTCCATCGCACAGTATGTCTCACAGGTGAGTGGGCCAGACGACAGGGAGCAGTTATTGTCTGTGGCAGGACACATGTAAGTATTCGCTTGATAAAACTTCCCTTGACTCACACTTGTAGTTACATCAGTTGAACCAATTTAAGCTTTAATTTTTTTTATAACTTTTTATTTCTGTTGCATTTTTACACATGGCCTATACAATGTAATACATAGGCAGTAAACAAAAGTTGAGAACAGAATTATTGTGTGGGAAACAAAAGATGACAAGATGACGAAAATTTGTAGAATTTATTGATACTATTACTTATCATGCTTATGAGAGCTGTGTATTTTGTAAGCATGTAATATTTGTAAATCTCTTTTTTTTAAAACTGGAAGTTCGGTACCTTTTTTGAATATCTATATTTAAAAATTACGAATTTGCAAAGTAATATAGTTGCATTTATAGGATTGTTGTGTCGCTGATCAAATCCAAGGAGAATGTTTTTTCTTGTTTATGTGAGCTTAACTTGAATCTCATCTGATAGCCACTCTTCCAATTTTTGCCATATGGGTTTCACTTTGCTACAGTCTGCCAGTGCATGGGAAACAGATTCTATACTATTTGAACAAAAACTACATGTCTCCGAATCAACTAGTCGCATTTTAAAAAGTCTTCTGTTTGTTGGTAGTATATGATGTAACAATATGATTAAGCTTTAATTACCATACAACTTCAATAATCTCCATGCTATGTGTATTTTTTCATGCTTTTGGTGGGCTTGATGTCATCAAGCGGTAGGTACTTAGCTGTAGGTACTTCAAGATTATGTACACATTTCAACTTTGATAAATTTATGGAACCAGGTAGACTAAAATTTAGTCTATGAAATCTCATATTACACAATACCCTTCTTGACTCTAAAATGAAACAAATAATTTTCCCGATGCTGATTTCATGTGTGGAATAGAGCTAGCTAGAGCTGGCTAGACTTGCTTTTCTCTATACATCTAGATTTCTTTTTCATAAAATAAATACAGTCCACAGTCATGGTGCAGGACTAGGAACAAGGCTTCAAACAGGTTTATATGTCAACATGCACCTGGTGCATGATATATCAAGCTCCTTAAATTGAGCCCTGCTATTAACATAACTAGAAAATAGTTTTGCTTGATGGGAACAAGGCCACTATCTGGCATGTCAGCACTGCAGATGTGTAAACAAGACTGTGAAGGAATATTGCAGTGTTCCCGTTTACCGGTATTTACCAGTTTTTTACTGGTAAAATTAGGCTTGGACTGGTAATTCATTTGACTGCCAGTCCCTGTGGACTGGCAAATAAAGTACCATATAAATTTTTGTTGTTGAACAAAACACTGGCGATATTCAAATAAGTATATTTTTTATCGAAGTCAGCTTGTCTGTTACCATCAGCATTTCCCGTTGTCCATTTTTAGTGCAAGAAAATAACATTTCGCTTTGGTTTGAGGTTAAGTATATCTTCGTAGTGACATCGTCCAGAAATATAAAAAAAAAGAAGAGTAAATTGTGACTGAACTTTGTATGAATGACAAGTAGATCTAATTAGGTTGCTTCAGAGATGGTGTCTTTGCAATCGAACATAATGTCGAAAGAATTAAAGCCAGGTAATTTTCATGTTTATTTATTTGTGGAAAGTTGGGACTGACAAAAATTAGGGGGTACTGGTAATTTTTGGTGTTGCCAGTCCACCAGGAACACTGATATTGATGAATTAATACTCATATAAATATGCTCTACACAATCTGGTGTTGTGTTGTGCTGCCTGAAGCTTACTGTTCTAACAGTCAAGTAAGAGGACGAGGCTTTGCAGGGTTTTACCTTGACTTACAAAACTAAATAATTATTTCTAAGGGTCCTTGCAGGCAATATGAGGGAGGGTCCTGTAAAGTAGTGACATGGTGTAGTGTACTGCACATCTTGATAATTACTTTCGAGCCTGTAATGAATCAATGATCATGTGGATAGTGGTCATTATTGATGGATGAAATAACAGACACCCATAACTGCTTTTGATGCACTGTAGCTATATTGAATATTATTGTGCATCCTACAGGACGCAGGATATTTTTTTTCTGCATCCATTCTCTTCATTTGTGCGTACTGGATGCAAATTTGTGTGTGTGTCACATAAAACCGGGCTTTGCCACACAGATAACTGTCCTGTTTTATGTGGGACAAACAGCATGTATGACAAATGGGAGGGTACTGTGCAGATGACAGGGAGCAGTCATTGTGCGTGGCAGGACTCCCCAGTGTCAGAGATAGGACTGTCCACCATTGCACAGGTGTAGATGACAGGGAGCAGTCATTGTGCGTGGCAGGACTCCCCATTGTCAGAGAAAGGACTGTCCACCATTGCACAGGTGTAGATGACAGGGAGCAGTCATTGTGCGTGGCAGGACTCCCCAGTGTTTGAGATAGGACTGTCCACCATTGCACAGGTGTAGATGATAGGGAGCAGCTATTGTGAATGAGAGGACTTAGCAATTTTAGAGATACGGCTCTATCGCGCTGTGTCTGGCACAGTGTGTGGAGTGGCGGAGAGGACAGGCAGCAGTCGTTGTGCGTGGGAGGACTCCGCCATCTTTGAGATAAGATCGTCTCTATTGCACTGCGTGTCACAGGTCAGAGGAGCAGACGACGGGCAGCAGTCATTGTTTTTTCTGGGAGGGCTTGGTACCTTTTGTCAAAGCAATCTTAATACTTCCTACAGGGGAGTAAAAATAGGTTCCCTGCATCTTTATGCTTGTACATGGAATCTAAATGAATATTGTCGTCTTCCAGGTGAGCAAAAATGTTTCCAAAATCAGTTCAAGGACATACAAAGGGGTTTGAATGACACAAACAAAACTGCTCTGTGTATTTTCTTGAAGTAAACTCCACATCTTGTGCTGATTTATCCTTGCTGTATCCTCCTCCAGCACCAGGAGTCGGACCTGTTCATCTTTACATCATAGGGGTGGTGGGTAGTCTTGCTGATTTATCCTTGCTGTATCCTCCTCCAGCACCAGGACTCGGACCTGTTCATCTTAACATCATAGGGGTGGTGGGTAGTCTTGCTGATTTATCCTTGCTGTATCCTCCTCCAGTACCAGGACTCGGACCTGTTCATCTTAACATCATAGGGATGGTGGGTAGTCTTGCTGATTTATCCTTGCTGTATCCTCCTCCAGCACCAGGACTCGGACCTGTTCATCTTTACATCATAGGGGTGGTGGGTAGTCTTGCTGATTTATTAAATATATTAAACTTCTCCATAACCTGAGTCTAATCTCACATGTACTATAGGTACCATACTATATTACACTATTATAATATAAGTCTAAGTCAGTAAGGTAGAAGGGACCATGGCAAACTTCATAGACAGCTTCCTGCAAGACAGGTCGCTATCAGTTAAAATAGGGAAAATCAATCTGATCCTACGTCACTGGACAATGGCACGCCACAAGGCAGTATTATAAGCCCAACCCTGTTTAACATCATGATCAATGATCTTTTTGATCATGTCAACTCTCCTACCCATACTTCTAAATTCGCTGATGATGGAGCAATATGGGTAAAGCACAGAGATATTTCACAAATCCAATAAAGACTCCAGTCAGCCCTGGACGGAGAAGATCCCTTTCAAGTGAAAAAAACTGTTGGAGTTCTATTCAAACGCAGGGGGAAAGATGCTAGGTACCCTGTGTCTCCATAAAAGGCAAACCAAACTAATTTGAAAAATCCCCAATATTTCTTGGGGTGATCCTTGATCAACACCTCACTTGGTGCAAACATGTAGAATATGTGGAAAACAGATGTCAAAAAGACCTGAACGTATTACGGGCAGTTTCAGGCACATCTTGGGGCACATCGAGGGACACTCAGCTGGACCTCTACAAATCACTTATCGGATCAAAAATAGACTATGGTTGTGAGGCCTTTCACTCAGCATCAAATACTGTCTGAGCCACCTCGACAGAATACAATACAAAACCCTAATGCTGGCCACAGGTGCAGCAACAGGTACTTCACTAGAAGCACTACAAGTAGAAACAGGAGAACTTCCATTGAAACAAAGAAGAAAGCAGGCAATATTATTGTTCTGGGGACGAGTGTCAAACAAAGTATTCCTTGATGGGTTCACTTACTCTAAGAATTGAACCAGAGGCAAGACCACACACTGGAGATGTATCATCAAGATCTGCCGTGAGAAATGTTCCACTGTTGGAGACTTCTTAAAGATGTCTCGGACCACTGCCACCCACCTAGAGATCAGACTCCTGTCAAGTTTGTCAGCACTCTGAGGAAACAGGCCAGGGAAGAAGCAAGTTCAGTGGAAAGAAGACACCTCTTCAATTCTGGGATGCTGTTGGACATTTGCTGAAGCTGGTATGATTTGATTATTAAAAGTGCATAATAAACCCCTCCTGTAAATTCCTCAAAATGTGTGTTTTCTGGTCTGTTCCACTTTAAAGAAAGGTAAACAGGTAACTATTGCTTGACTAACCAACCTTGACTAATCCTGGTATAAGCTGTCTGACAAATGGGATGTCTGACAGTTGGGAGGTTCCCGCCTGGAGAGCGGAAGGTTGGTGGTTCGATCAACAGCATGTCGATGGTTCAAAAGTTCTTCTTCTTCTTAGAATGACTAAGCATGTTTTTACAGTGCTTTACACGGCAGGGGACACCAGAAAAGGGCTTCAAACATTGTACCCATTGTCTTCGGCATGACGAGCAAAGCTTTTTCCACAAGCCTGCCCCATACACCTCTTCTTATTAGAACCCTTACTCCAAACTTCGTCATCTGGGGCCCGTGGTACTTGAAGGCAGCTATATTTCCATCCCTGACAGCTTTGATGTGGGTTGCAGGCGGAGTCGTCAGCGGAGCACCTGTTGTCGATATCGGACCCACACCTGTTCATGGAGCGGTACGTTGACGTGATGCAGGACCTGGACCGATGCCTCAACACCTGCACACTGCTCACAGCCACTGCGGAGGACATGATCGGTGAGTTGGGGGGGCTGCATCTTGAGACCCCAGTTCCCATGAGCATGTTCTTGACACATTGTACCCATGTGGGGAATCGAACCTGGGTCTTCGGTGGGAAGACCCAACATTTAACCAGGATGTTTATGAACTACTAATGCAAAAATGCCAATGTTAAGATGAAAATGTTCTTTTCTGTAAATGGAATTTGGAAGGTGTTGTATCAATGAAGACACTGATTATAACTTTTTCTTTCAATGTGTTGTTTCTTAAATCTTAAGTGATGCTGTGGCATTTAATTGGCTTACCAAGAGTAGCAAGAACAGTGACGAGTGAGTATGGTTTTACGCTGTTTTTTGCAATATTCAAGCAATATCACGGCGGGGGACACCAGAAATGGGCTTCACACATTGTACCCATGTCGGGAATCGAACCCCGGTCTTCCGGGTGACAAAGGAACGCCTTAATCACTAGGCTACCCGACCGCCCCGAACAGTGAAGAAAAGTCCAAACAATTGTTTTTGCATTTGTTTCTATAAACTGTAAAAAGTTCGGCCACGCCCACTAACGGACTACTGTTTGCTAATTGTCTGTTAATATAATAGGCATGGCTTGTGTTTGATTATTGCACTGAATGATGTCAATGATTCTGTATTGTTGCCTATACAGAAAACACAACCAGTGATGACGAGACAGCTGCCCATGAAGAGTCTAGGTCCAAAGCCAAGTCATCGTTTGAATCCAAAGGACCTTCACAGGACCAAGATGGTCATTCTGCCTCCAAGCCTTCTAAGGATGTAGAAAGTGATAATGACATAGAGCCAAGGAGGTCAGCTGAAAGGTCCCTTGACACTGACCTTCCGTCCAACTCACCGACCTCATTACTGCCCACCCAGCCCCATGCGGGGGTACTGGAGGAATCGCTTTTGGAAATTGATGGGGCGACTTGGGAGGAACATGGGCAGACCAAGGGAGGTAACTCTGTAGCCTTTGAGAATAGGGGAGACAACTCTGTTGGTTACAGCACACAACAGGCTGGATGTAGTGATGGTGGTGGCAACCATGTTGCCATGGAGATGTCATGTGATGGGGATTTTCATCAGTCAGATTCGTTATCACAAGTGGGACATGTTGCTGATGCGAGGTCTTTAGACCAAGCTGGTGATCAGGCAACGGTTCCTAGAGCTGAAGGTAGGACATAAGCTGATGGTGTAATTTGTCTAGAGGTGTTACTGTGAGGGTCCTCATGGGGTATACTGTTTAGCATAAAAAGAAACCAAAAAAATGATCGTAAACATCAGATGAGTCAAATCGTGAAAGATTAATGTTGAATGTCCATAAAAAGCTGCTTTGAGTAAATTTAAACTTTACTGTTAATTTTTGTAAGCATGCTAAAATCTTATAATAATTGCAGTGATGAAAAAAGCTGAGGCAGCTTTCCCAATGTTTAGCTACAGCCAGACATATGATCTGCATTCATGTTTGCACAGAGATGATTTCGCATTTGAGATTCAACTTGACAATTCGTCCTCAATTTAAGTCTTTTTAACGGCTAAGCCCAAAAATAAATGACTACTGACTTGCAATACCCCCCATCAAGACCCTCTTATACGGCATGTTACACATTTAGCACAGCACATGAACAGATACAAATTAGAAGTCGCATGAAACAGCTTTTTATGCAGAATTAATTTTAAAAATATCTGCTCATTTGTGTAAAAATGGCCAACATATTGCATACCCAAAGAAAACTAACAATACTCCTTGTGAATGATAATTTGTGGGAAGATACTCGGTGTCTCAAAAAGTTTTCTGGACAATATTGTAAGCATAAGTGCTTGAGTTACCTCCCTTACATTAGTGGTACATTAGGCAATATGTATAAGATCATTATTTTTAAGATTCATAGTGTTTAGACATTTGATCATTTTATTCAATTTGATTTATGAATGCTTTTCACAGCTCCAGATTTACCAGAGAATGAGCTTGACAAAAGCTCCACAAGAGCCTTCACCCCCAACGCACCATCCAAGTCAGTTGTTGGGGGAGCATCATTTAACTACGGCCTTGGCCCAACCATCTCCCACTGTACACTGACTGTCGGACCGGTCATCCCCGTCATGGTCAGCGAGATAGGGACGCCCTGGTCCTTCTACGTCCAGCAGTATGGCTGTGCACTTGAAAGGCTGAGGATGGATATCAAGTAAGAGTTGCTTTGGTCAAAACAGTTTTTTTTTAAAATTATTCCTCGAAATGATTCAATGGCATTTGACTGGCTAACCATGCAATTAAAAAAAAAATTGGGTTTGTTTTCATAAACCTTAAAAAAATAAATATGCCTTGCCCACTAGCCGACTACTGTTTCCTGATAAGGTAAAGCTTGTGTTGCATTGTTGTGCTGGACAATGCCACTGACTATGTATTGACACAATTTTATGACACAAGCTTCTTTAATACTGTAAAAAGCGATGTTTCGGTATAGATCTTTATACCGATGTGGACCGCCTCCGTGGTCTTGTGGTAGAGCGTCTGCCCGGAGAGCGGAAGGTCTAGGGTTCGATCCCGGGCCGCGTCATACAAAAAGACGTTAAAAGATTGTACTTGTTGTTACCCTGTCTCGCGCTCGGCATTAAGGGGCTAAAACAAGGACTGCTCGGCTCGGAGTCAGTATACTGTGTCTGAGTGGGGTATTCATGTTAAACTGCGGCATGGTATCTCAGTGAGCTAGCACTATAAATCGGCATCAGTCCGGACTAGTACAAGCAGCCACACAAACACACACACGTACATGCACGTCGCTATATAAGTGCAATAATCTTTGACGCGACGTTAAACCCCATTTCACCTCACCTCACCTTATACCGATGTCAAGCCATAAAATTGCGTCTACCTTGTCATCCGTCAACTTCTAAGTAATGCCTATCAAACAATGAGTATGTATTGTTGTCTGTAGGTTTTGCTGTGTTAATGAAGTTGCAGTCAGTGAAGTTGTTATTTTTTACTTATTTATAGATGAAAATTGACTTCAATACTTTTGGGGCACCGGTGTGCACACTTTGCAGACTTCTGCCATGCAGATTTACACAGTGCACACATTTTTTTATGTTTATACCTCCATAAACACAAAAGAGATTGAAGTCAATTCTTAATGAATTTGGTGATGGTCAGTTTTGGATATCGTGGATTTCTTCTTGTGACAGCAGTTGAACCCTCTGGGTGCTGGGAGTGAAAGGACATTTGTCATTACCATGATTACTCATTACTGAAAAATTATATCATTTCCTATTCAGTTCCACATTTTTAATTATTTTCCAATTTGAAGAGCAATGGCATTTGTGTTTTATTTTCTAATAAAAGCCACACAAACATCTCTAGTTCTTTTTGTCAGAGCTTTCATTTAGTACATTTGGAAAATCATTATGTAGTTAGGAAATCAAAATAATAATACATTTATATTAATCTTCGTCCTTCCTACTTCTAATAAAAAAAAGTGATGAGAAAGAGTTTTTTTATGTGTTGCATAAAAGTATTTTTTAGTGACGGTATAGTTAAAACTAATATGATCTTGACATTGACGCATTCATAATCATTACTTGTTAAAGTAGGTAGCTATCTGATGGATCAGTCGATGTCTTGTAACAGCCTATGCAAGTCCTAAGGCCGGCTTGTATGGATATCATGACGTCATAATGTTTAATGTGACGTCAGGTGCTTGTTATGTCATAATTGATCCTTTCCGCACTTCAAGTTAGCACACAAGAGGAGGATGGAAGTCTCATTTCCAAGCTGAACATTCGTGTAGGTCCTTTAGCTCCTACAATCCCCGCACACCCTGTACTGACACATCTAACCCACAATATGTCTCTCCTATCAACCATCACTTAGTGAGTGAGTTATGCCTCTTTGAACAGTATTCCGACCTGTGAAGATCCGGGGTAGAATAGGTCTTCAGCAACCCATGCTTGCCGTAAAAGGCAACATGCTTGTCGTCAAAGGCAACATGCTTGTCGTGAAACGCGACTAACAGGATTGGGTGGTCAGACTAGCTGACTTGGTTGATGCATGTCATTGTATCCAACTGCATGGATTGATGCTCATGTCAATCACTGGATTGTCTGGTCCAGACTCGATTATATACAGACCACCGTCATATGGCTGGAATATTGCTGAGTGCGGCGTTAAACAACAAACAAAGACAAAGGCAAAGAACAGTATTCCAGTTATATCACGGCGTGTCAGCTTAATGTAGGAGGAAAGCATAAATTGATATAGGTCTTAGACAAGTACCACTTTGATGAAACCCATGAAACATAATTGGGGTGAACCGGGATTATCATCCATGACCATAAACTTCTGGCGTGCCCAATTGGACTCAACTCTGCACAGCGCATTGCGGCACCTTAGACAACTGAGCCTCCCATAACCCCTCCATTACTTTGAAATGGAATAAAACTCCCAACTTCTCACAAATATTATTGGACAGTTTATTTGCCCCAGGAAGCTCCCTGTTCTGTTAGATCAGTTTCCGTCATAAGTAAGACTAAACCTGGTAATTTGGTACTTAGTAAATATTGCTACTGAAATCTCAACATTATTTAGGCATGATTACGCTTAAAAGATTTTCTATGAAGTCAAACTATTTTAAGATTGATTTGGTTAAATTGTTGTTAGTATTTGTTAGTATATAATAGAAAGGAACCTAGAGAATCCTATCATTGTCAGGGAGAAATGTAGACTTGCCAAGGTATTGTAGACTTGCTTGCTGTTTTGGATGTGCTTCAGGGTCTGAATGAAAGACTAAGGCGGGATTAACACCTTTGTTTGCCATCTATTGCAGGACTCTACCCAATTCATCTTAACACAGGTTACATACATGTGGTATCTCCCTTGGCACGAGACTTTGTTTCAAATATGCCTCTGTTCACCCAGCAGTGAATGGGTACCCTGTAGGATGAGTCTGTAAACCTTCTAGCACCTGATAAAGCAGCTTGGTTTGTGTACTCCCCAGGGGGTTGAGAATGAAATTTGAGTGCACTCTGGATTGTCTGGTCCAGACTTGATTATTTTCAGACCGTCGTCATATACAACTGATATAGCTGGAATATTGCTGAGTGTGGCGTAAAAGAACCAACCAACCAACCAACCATACTTGACAATGCCAATAGTAAATGGATAGTTAGCCAGGTATTTGGCCATCCTTTGAATGAAATATGATACATTATAAAGGACTTACTATCTTTCCCCTTTCAGCCATTACATTTCCCAACTGCAGCAAGGGGAGGCAACTCTCAGTGATCCTCAGACAGGCATGCTGTGCCTCAGTCAGTTCTCAATTGACAAGTTCTACTACAGAGCCAAAGTTATAGAAGTCCGAGGTACACTTTATTTCTTTAGGATTTGTCTGATTATTCCGCAGTGTTGAAACATGACTCCTTTCATGACTCCTTTCTTTGTGTGTAATACAGTGTGAGAGTGGGTTTTCTAGCAGAATTTCTGTTATATCGCAGTGTGGCAGCTTATTATGGGAGGAAAGCATCAAGCTATGCAAGTTTACCACTTGGGTGAATGACAGAAGTTAGGACAACAGGGGGCTTAGTCGAGGTGAATTCGGGATTTGCCGACATTTTTGTTTAAAATTATAGCCAGTGTTTTGGCTTGGTTTTGATATAATTACCAATTCTTTGGTTATATTCGTTTTATTTAAACCAATTAATGAATGTTAAATTCATTATAATAATTTTGTGTATTTTCAAGGAATTGTCTAAGTGCCTGCTTTATTAATCCTCATTAATCATCAAAATATAATTCCTTCAGTTTGCTGCCAAGTACCGTCAATGATAAGTGTTTCATGGGTAAATATGACTAGATTGATTAAACATTTGAACTTTATGAACAGTTGTGAGGTGGATGTTAGGAAATTAGGGATCTGGGAACAAAAAAGACCAAAAAAACCAATGCCCTAAATTTAAAAATTGTGAAGTAAGATTTATGTTATGACAGCTCTCATTTGTTTGTCCATCATAGAAATTACGTAAATGGTATAAAAAAATATAGGTCTCTGAGGTTTTTACTTCATTAGTTGTAAAACTGACCATGTAGTATTTTTGTTTTACCTACCAACTATACTATATAGTGATCCTTGAATTTTAATATATATATATATCTTTTTACTTCTATCGCCAACCCTGGTTTTTTGGAGTAAAATAACCTGTAAACAAACTATTTAACAAAATCCCTAAAGCTGTTTGTAAACAACATGTGGTCATGAATAAAAAAAATTTAAACAATTTTTATAATATTATATTTTAGTTCCATTGTCGGTTGTTTCAATGAGGAAATAGCTTAAATTGTTGCGATTCTGGTCACCATAAGACATTTCCCTAACAGTTTCAGAAACATTTCATCTGTATGCAAAAGATATGCCTTCGTTAAATCTTTTAATGTCATCATCGAAGCAGTCAGGGTTGCGGAGACCTGGCTGGTTTTAGAGAGTAGAGACCCAGCGTGTATTAGAGGAAATATAGATATGTTTTACAGTTCATAGGGGGGTGATCTATCGGCAGCCATTTTCTATGAATCGATATGTAGGCTATCTGTGTATTCATACGCACATTTTTGTGTGTGAAAAGGCTTAATATATTTGAAAGGGGTTTCCCTATCAAAAAGGAAACCTCTTTTTAACCAGTCAGAATCAAGCATTCATCAATGTCATGGTAGATTGACCAGTTAAATATGACTGGGACCAGTAAATTTGAGGGTTGATGGTCCCTGTCTCGGGTAGAAATTTAGGTTGAAAAAAGCATATCAAATCCTGTGATTTGCTGTAAATATTTAATCACTGTTTCAAAAGCTGATTTGTAAATCACAGAGACTGTGCTTGTCATAAGAGGCGACAGTGTTTGTCGTATGAGGCGACTGCCTGCTGAAAAGGTGACAAATGCAATTTGGTGATTTGTTTCATGCATGCAATCGAATCCCAATTGCGTATGTTGATGCTCATGGTGTCAGTCACTGGAGTGTCAGGTCAAGACTTGATTATTTACAGACTGACATCATAAAGCAGGAATAATACTGAGTGTTGCGATAAACAACAAAATAAACAACAAACAAACAAACAAACTGAATCTCTCTCCTTCCATTAGCCATGTGTAAGGGTAATGGGTGAAAGATAGAGGTTGGTTGGTTGGATGGTTGGTTGGTTGGTTGGTTTGTTGTCTGATGCGGCACTCAGTAATATTTCAGCTATATGATGGCGGTCTGTAAATAATCGAGTCTGGACCAGACAATCCAGTGATTAATTAAAGGATGGAGGTTCATATGTATAAACAGATATAGAGCAGATGGTCGTTGAGTCCAAAAAGTGTGAAAAGATACTTGTTGTTACCCTGCCTGGCACTTGGCATGAAGGGATAAAACAAGGACTAGTTGGGTCGTAGTCAGTATATAGATCCGTGAAGATTCCGGGTAGAATTGATCATCAGCAACCCATGCTTGTCATAAGAGGCGCCTAACAGGGCCGATTGGTCAGGGGCTGTGACTTGGTTGATGCATGTCATCATATCCCAATTGCGTGATGTAAATCACTGGATTGTCTTGTCCAAACTTGATTATTTATGGACCCCCGTGATACAGCTGGAATATTGCTAAGTGCAGCGTTAAACAACAAACAAACAGTCAGTATACGGTGTTTGAATGGGATATCCCTGGATAACTGTGGCTCATTCTCACCATTTCACCTCACCTCACACCACCTCACCTCACCTCACCACCTCACCTCACCTCACTTTAATTTTGTCTTGTGGTCCTATATTGCAGGAAATGAGGTCGACATGGACTGCAACGTCATCTACGTGGACTACGGCAACTACGAGTGTGTCAAGTCGTCCTCGCTGCTGCAGCTGCCAGCCAGTCTGGCCATCCTGCCATCCCAGGCCATCTTCTGCTCCCTCTCTGGGGTAGGTGCACGGTTCGCTGGATACACAATATTGAGTCCTGTACACCTACACATAGGGAATGGATGCAAATAATTGACACTGAGAGTCCTGAGGGATGCAAAAAGTATGGCTGTTTAAATTGTTAAACCCAATCGACCCAAGAAGATCAGGGGTAGAATAGGTCTTCAGCAACTCATTCTTGTCGTAATAAGGCGACTATGCTTGTCGTAAGAGGCAACTAATGGGATCAGGTGGTCAGACTCGCTGACTTGGTTGAAGCATGTCATCGATCCCAATTGCGTTGATCGATGCTCATGATATCAATCACTGGATTGTCTGGTCCATACTCAATTATTTACAGACAGTCGTCATATAACAGAATATTGCTGAGTGCGGCGTAAACCAACCAACCAACCAACGTTAAACCCAATCAAGATTAGAGACTCATGTCTCAAGGGGCTTGATTTACAGAACTTGAATTAACTTGCACCAGGTGCATGTTGCCATGAAAACCAAGTTGCTCCAGACAAAACCAGGTTGCACCCGGGTCCAGTAAATTTATCAAAGTTGAAACACAGCTGCCAGTGTCACATAGACTGATGATGCATCGCTGTAAAACGTAATAGAAACATGTGCACATAATCGTAAACCCACTGTTTGACGATGTCTAACCCCAAAAATTGTGACAAATTACGCATAACTCAGGGATTACTGATGTAGTATGGTAAATAAACTTTAGAGGTATTGGACCCAATGTCCAATACAAGGACTGATTACTGAGAGAACTATATACACCAATTTTTGGGTGGGCTGAAATACAACATTTTTTGAGGGTCTCGCATGACTGTGTGTAGCTTGACAACATGGTAAATGGGAATTTCATGCAAAAAGTTAGGTGTCTCGATCAGTATGATATCGTGTGTGTGTTGCGATATGTATCGAAATCCAGTCTGTGCCAAAAACATTTGAGTCTACTTGCCTGAACTTAGCTCTTCGCATCTTTTTTGGAACATTTAAGTGTTGTCATATGCTCTTTTATTAGCTGAGCTTACTAGACCAAACAGAATGTTACTAGACTGATTCGAAGCAGGTGCTAAAGTCGCAGACTGAAATATGAGGTGGACGAATCATGGCACCCTTGTAGTCCCCATCTTCAGCCTTATTTCTGTGACTAATTCAATGAAAGTGATTACCGTATTCGACATAATAAGCGCCCAGGGTGCTCTCAAAATTAGAAATAGGGGGCTCTTATTGGAATATTATTTTGGGGAAAAAACATTTGGTTGAAAGATAAATTTCGTGGTTTATGCTGACGGCCTGAACTGTTTATATGCGACAGATATATTTTTCCAGAATTTAATTGCCCATAATAAAGGGTACATATAACACACGAGTGCGTATCATACACGAATAAATAAGTCTTGTATACACTGAACAATCGGAAGGAGTGCTAATTGGGATTGTTCACTTGCCAATATATTAGCAAATATCGCCGTGGGCGTTTATTAGAGCGGGGCGCTTATTACGTCGAATACGGTATGTGTATTGCCTGTTTCTTTTTTCCTTCTTTTCTTAACATTAGAATGTCAATGCATATATATTGTTTCAGCTGTGCCCGGTAAACAAGCTGGGTGTGTGGACGGAAGATGAAGTGAACGGTTTCCGCCAGTTTGTGAGTGGGCAGCAGCTGAACTGTAAGGCGACATTCGTCAGCCCCTACCAGACTCTGTCCTTCCCCCACCTGGTGGAACTGCAGCTCACCATTCCACAGACAGACCGAGACGGCGCCGTGCTCCTCAGTCAGCTCAATCTAGCAGCTCTGCTGGTGAAACAGAACCTTGCCAGACCCGTCCCTGTGTCTGAACAGATCGCTAAGTTACAGAACCTCTTTGGTGACCTTCCCATTCCTGGGTCCAAGCAATCGTCGCCACAGAAACCGATTAAGAAGGAACAGGAGGCAAAGGTTCCAGAAAAGAAGGAGCCAGATGTGATTGTAGAGAGCAGTTGTGTTGTGAATCTTGATTTAATACATAATTCCAGCTCTGGTGATGCAGCAAAAACAGAGGAATGTGGTGTAGATGAGTCTATAGAAGGCCCTGTCCAAGAGAAATGCTCTGATGTTGCAGGTAGTAAGAGAGCGAGAAGAAAAGGTAAATCCGTGCCGCAGTCTCCTGGGGGAGATTTCTCTATTCCATCCAAGTCAGACTCAAGGAAATATTCCAAGAAGAATCATTCCAAACCAACTCAGGAAAAATCTTCACCTTCAGACCTGCTATCTAATAATCCCACCAACGACAAATCTGGCAACGAGTCTCCGACCAAGTCACTGACATCAAGCTGTTTGGAAGGGGAGACAACTTCTTCTGGCGTGACCGACCTGAGTCTGAATCCGTTATCTGTTGATTTATCCAGTGCTCAGACTGAGGAGTATGAGGTAATGGCGGCCCACATCAACTCCCCGAACGACTTCTTCGTCCACAAGATAACCGAAGATGTAGGCAAGACATTGGACAGGCTGATGAAAGATCTGAATCTCCATTTCGAACGAATGTCCCGAAAGAATTTATACAAACTTTACCGTAGCTTTTCCCCTCAGTTTAGAAGCTTATGTTGTGCACAGTTCTCACACGACAACTGTTACTACAGGGCACAGATCATAGAGCTGGCAGAGGTAGACAATCCAGATTCTAGACTTGAAAATGACAGAATTGGTAAGATCCATGTTTTCTTTGTTGACTTTGGGGATGAGGAGTGGTTGCCGAGGAGTAAAGTGTTCCCATTGCCGGAGGAGTTTTCGATGTTCCCCCCGCTGACGATGTGGTGTTCGCTGGCTCATGTGCAACCTGTTGAGAGGGACTGGACGGAGGAGAGTCTTCAGGACTTCCATCGGCTGGCAGGGGGTGAGAAGCGGTTGTCGTTGGTTGTGACAGAGGGGCACCTGCCAGACTCTAATAGGTGATGAAATAGGCTTTCTTTATGTTGTTTATGTGTTAACGCTTTGTGTTCATGTGTCAACTTTCATTATATGCAGGAATGACAATGTTGGTCTATTCAAACTAGTCCGCAGCTCATTTTCGACTATTGGATTATGTAAAATAACGAGTTTGATACAAAACAGAAAGTCCCTGTGGATTTTCACTACTTTTCTCGTACTAATAGATGCATGGCAATGTCTATCCCTTCATTTGTTTGTTTGTTGTTTAACGCCGCGTTCAGCAATATTTCAGCTATATGACAGCGGTCTGTAAATAATCGAGTCTGGACCAGACAATTCAGTGATTTATTTCATGAGCATTGATCCATGCAATTTGGATCGATGACATACATCAACCAAGTCAACAAGCCTGACCACCCGATCCCGCTACGACAAGCATAGTCGCATTTTACGGCAAGCATAGTCGCATTTTACGGCAAGCATGGGTTGCTGAAGACCTCTTCTACCCCGGATCTATTCCTGGTACAATGTATTGTGTATTTCATGTCCGGATCGACATGTCTAAATTATCTGTTATAGATTAACCAGTGTATAATGTCTCATTTCTATTATGAAAATTGACCTTGACCCATTTGGTACCATGGCTTTGGTTTAGGCACTCTTTGGTTGATATGAGACTTATAATATCCAGCAACTGGAATTACACTCATTAGCAGAAAAAATCCTAGGATAAAAATGGTGATGCCTCTTCCGAATCAAAACTATGGTAGCGAATGGTCCAGGGTATCAATCATAATACACAGGAGATATGATACACTTGAAAATTAAGGATGCAAACTACCATCCTACTCAATAGTAAGAACTCCACTAGAATTCAGCCCAGTTCAATGTATACTACTCAACTTTTGATAGGGATTTTATTTTAAGGTATACTTGACATTCTGAGAATCTGTTTTGTCTACAATGGAAAGAATGGTTCGCCCCGATTATGGTTCTAGGTTTGTCAGCACCATACTCATGCTTGTGGGTTTCACCAAAGTTGTAAACGTTTCAGACATGCACCAGACATGCCTTCCAATCACATCAAACTAACACGCCGTGATATATATAGAATAATAAACGAGCTCCCGTGTAATACCAATTTTATGAAACGAGTGAATAGTTCTGGTATCTGACGAGCGAAAGCGAGTCAGATACCACAACTATTCACGAGTTTCATAAAATTGGTTTTACACGAGAGCGAGTTTAGTATTTTATTTATTACTTGTCATTTATAATGTTTTTAGAATTATACTGTTGAGTGTAAATAGGCTGACACCTACACGATCCATGGCATAATCCAATTGAGTTTAACAGAATAATACTTCAAACAATCAAAAGTTGAAACGTATGAATTTAATATCATACAATGGTCCACCTTTAGAATTCAGGCGTTCGTCCCACAAAATGATCGTAGTGCTAAGGCTATCACAACTCACATAATTTAACTTAGACTAACGACTGTCGTTGCGCTAGAGTACGATCGCCTTGTGGATGGGGCCTTGCACCTCAAAGTTTACAATCACGTCACAATACCCGATGACGTAATTTGTTGAATTTTGTTGCAAGATCCATCGGCGAAACAATGCCATGTGACGTCAGCCTAGCAACAAGGTTGCTGGGGTCATCGAGTGTGCATAAGCTCTTCCCAGTGATCTATCATCTCCACACACAATGTCGTTGAATACGCCAAGGGATGTTGAGAGCTTTCAATATTTGTTCGTGAAACGTGTTCCGAGAGTACATAAGCACACGTTTTGGTATTACACAATGTGTAATAAAGCTGTATGTTTATTAAACGGGTGATCTCTTCACGGGCAAGTAATAAAACAGGAATACCGAATACTGTTCAAAGTGGAGTTATATGAAGTTAAGTAACAGAGATACAAGGAGAGCTTTGCTGTATGGAGTGTCTGGCTTTGTGTAAAGATATAATGGGATAACACATTTCTGACACTTGTAATATTAATCGATCTGGAAATATTTAAGCAATGACACAAGGGCCTGTACACATACTCCGCATGCAATGTTCCATTATATTGATCAGTGTGATCAGTGTGCTCTCCATTGTCATTCTCATCTCCCTGGGGAGTATGCAACCAAAGCTGCCTCAGAGGCTCTGGAAGGTTCCCAGTAACATAACCATCTTATCCTACCGGGTTTCACAAATCAAAAGCAGAACTAAGGATATACAGCACACATTATTACAAACGAAAAAGAAAAATACTTTAGGTTGATTACATTTATTACAGTCAGCAATATTTCACATTAGATTAAATGGCATTATATTACAAAAGATAAGTGTTGAGAGTTGTTTTACACAGACAAGCAAGTATAGGATCCAAATATGAATATAACATTCCACACTAAAATAGAATTCAGTCATAGCATTCAAATGTCCTTTTTTCCACATGTTCGGGTGTCCCATTTAAAGGTCCGTGTCAAATGTCCGAGTTAGGGATGACAAGTAGGAGCAATCACCCTAATGCCTGAAATCATCAAAACAACTAACTACTACTAGGTGACAACTATCATGTATTACAATACAATAAGTCAAAAACATTGAAAATAACATATAACAGGCTATATTTCCATGATGGACAATCTTTTTGGCAAAGCAAACCTTATTTACAATTAAACACGAAGTAACCATTCCACATATTTAGCCTCGAAATAACACAATATTATACTCACAAAAGCCTTTCTCCTGGCCAGGTCTCACGACAGTGAAAGATCAACTGTGTCTTAAAACTGCTAAGACATGGCTTTATATAATAACGTCAGAGACAAAACGCATGCTTTCACATGTCAAAAAGTTGTGTTTGGGCGACCTGTTCCAGTATTAAGGATGACATCTACCCCTTCCCAAATACATCCCCAAAGTAATGATAAAAGAGCACACGATGTGACCCCGGGTACCCATTCACTGCTGGGTCCTGAACAGTGCTGTCAGATTGCTGTGTTTCCTCTGTTTGGTACGTGAAGACCACCTGGTGAGGTTCCTGTGTGTGCTGGTGTTGCAGCGTGTGTGTGGTGCAGTCGTCCCCCCTGCAGGTGTTCCTGGTGGACTTGGTCAACTCGGAGGAGGAGATATGCATCAACCTGGAGCTCATGAGTCTGGGCCATGCCTCACTGATCGTCACCCAAGCTCCTCGAGGTGAATGTTTCATTTATCATCACTGTCACTTCCTCCCGTTTTTCACTTTTCACATCTTTTCCAAATGAATCTGAATTCCGGTCTACTTCTTGCCGCAGTTGGCCATCTTGACAGATAATAATTGATATGACAAATTTTGGTGTTTATATATTGCTCCTCATCATGTTTAATGAAGACCTTGAAGGTCCGTAGCCAGACAATTCAGTCTGTTTAAAAAGATCAAAGGTCACAGGTCAAAGGTCACATGTCAAAGGTCACAGGTCAGAAGTCACATGACCAGGTGAGAAGGTTCAACCTGGCATTGATTTCTTTCAGGATGATACTTCAACAAATATTCATCAAATTATACAGATAGGTCAAGGTCAAAAGTAAACAATAATGGTCACTATCAACAAGTCACTGACTATGGCTTTTTTCTTGTCTGGGACTTGCATCTGGATGAAAATATTGATATATCGTGTCCATATTTTATCCAAGACTGGTCACAAGGTCAATAACCATGAATGGGTCATTGATAACAAGGTGAAGGTCACATGACAATCAGTCATCCACTAGTTTAAACAAATTTAATCCAGATTTGACCATCGAACCAGATGCAAGTGGTATAACACCTAACGAGGGATGCATAAAACCACATGTACCCCTCGGGATACCGCTGCAGTGAATTTATCTTAACAACATGTTTAATCTGCCATTGTAAGAGAATTAAAACATTCAAAATGGAAGAAAACAGCTGTTCGATTGAGCTGAGCTAAACTTGTGCTATGTCACGTGACTCTCATGTGGCCTTTTGTTTCAAAGCGGGGCATAAGGGATATATTCTTTCACTCAGAAATGCTGGTGCAGCCTGTCTTCGTGGCAGGGTATAAGGGAGTTTTTCTCCTACTCAGTAATTAATTTCACTCCCAGGCGGGATAATTAATATTTTATCAAGGTCACATGAACCAATCAGGTCTCTATATATTACCCACAGAGGCAGGGATACCAGTGATAGATTACATTCTCTATATAGTACCCACAGAGGGAGGGTTACCAGTGATAGATAACATTCTCTATATATTCCCCACAGGGGCAGGGTTACCAGTGATAGATTACATTCTCTATATATTCCCCACAGAGGCAGGGATACCAGTGGCAGATTACATTCTCTATATATTACCCACAGAGGCAGGGATACCCGTGATAGATTACATTTTATATTATATTACCCACAGAGGCAGGGTTACCAGTGATAGATTACATTCTCTATAAATTATCCACAAGGGCAGGGATACTAGTATCAGATTACATTCTCTATTTATCACCCACAGAGGCAGGGTTACCAGTGATAGATTACATTCTCTATATATTACCCACAGAGGCAGGGATACCCGTGATACATTACATTTTATATTATATTACCCACAGAGGCAGGGTTACCAGTGATAGATTACATTCTCTATATATTACCCACAGAGGCAGGGATACCAGTGAGAGATTACATTCTCTATATATTACCCACAGAGGCAGGGTTACCAATGACGGATTACATTCTCTATATATTACCTACAGAGGAAGGGTTACCAGTGATAGATTACATTCTCTATATATTACCCACAGAGGCGGGGATACCAGTGGCAGATTACATTCTCTATATATTACCCACAGTGACAGGGTTACCAGTGATAGATTACATTCTCTATATATTACCCACAGAGGCAGGGATACCAGTGATAGATTACATTCTCTATATATTACCCACAGAGGCAGGGTTACCAGTGATAGATTACATTCTCTATATATTGCCCACAGAGGCAGGGTTACCAGTGATAGATTACATTCTCTATATATTACCCACAGAGGCAGGGATACCAGTGATAGATTACATTCTCTATATATTACCCACAGAGGCAGGGTTACCAGTGATAGATTACATTCTCTATATATTACCCACAGAGGCAGGGTTACCATTGATAGATTACAATCTCTATATATTACCCACAGGGGCAGGGTTACCAGTGATAGATTACATTCTCTATATATTACCCACAGAGGCAGGGATACCAGTGATAGATTACATTCTCTATATATGACCCACAGGGGCAGGGTTACCAATGACAGATTACATTCTCTATATATTACCCACAGGGGCAGGGTTACCAATGACAGATTACATTCACTATATGTTACCCACAATGGCAGGGATACCAGTCACAGATTACATTCTCGATATATTACCCACAGTGGCAGATTACATTCTCTATATATTACCCACAGTGGCAGGGTTACCAATGACAGATTACATTCACTATATGTTACCCACAGTGGCAGGGATACCAGTCACAGATTACATTCTCGATATATTACCCACAGTGGCAGATTACATTCTCTATATATTACCCACAGTGGCAGGGTTACCAATGACAGATTACATTCACTATATGTTACCCACAGTGGCAGGGATCCCAGTGACAGATTACATTCTCGATATATTACCCACAGTGGCAGATTACATTCTCTATATATTACCCACAGTGGCAGGGATACCAATGACAGATTACATTCACTATATGTTACCCACACTGTAATTATATTCTGTAATTCACCCTGTGAATTATCTGTTTTGCTTGCTGCCTAGATTACACTATTTTTTCAATTGCATTTATTGTTTCCAAAGCATTGTGTTGTCATGTGATTATATTGTCACAAATAATTAAGGCTTGTTCATACTGTCATGTACAGTTTTTTTCGGGACGTAGGTCTCACATTAGTTTGAATGAGATAATATCATTAGTTGTGATCAGAAAACCCTCATTTTGCCAAATTTTCTCCGAACAAAATGCTGTTGGTAATATTGAGAATAACCTCATAAACCCAATCAATAACAGATTCTTTGTCCCTCATGAAATAAAGTAGATAACCCCACTAATTTGGGACCAACTGTTTCACAGTGGGATTTTGTTGGTAAAAATTGTTTTTTGTCTTTCACCTGCATGGGTCCAGACCCACTGAAGTTTGTTTCTGATATCATCCCTTAAGTTTGTTTCCTAATTTAGATCCGCTTGAGCTTGTTTCCTAACTTTGACCCATGTGAGCTCATGTTTCCTGACTTAGGCTTGCTTTAGTTTGTTACCTATCTCCCACTTAGTGTTTGTTTCCAATCTCCCACGTAGTGTTTGTTTCCTATCTCAGACATGTTTGTTTCCTATCTCCCACGTAGTGTTTGTTTCCTATCTCCCACTTAGTGTTTGTTTCCTATCTCAGACATGTTTGTTTCCTATCTCCCACGTAGTGTTTGTTTCCTATCTCCCACGTAGTGTTTGTTTCCTATCTCCCACATAGTGTTTGTTTCCTATCTCCCACGTAGTGTTTGTTTCCTATCTCCCACGTAGTGTTTGTTTCCTATCTCCCACATAGTGTTTGTTTCCTATCTCCCACGTAGTGTTTGTTTCCTATCTCCCACGTAGTGTTTGTTTCCTATCTCCCACGAAGTGTTTCTTTCCTATCTCCCATGTAGTGTTTCTTTCCTATCTCCCACGTAGTGTTTGTTTCCTATCTCCCACGTATCGTTTGTTTCCTATCTCCCACGTATCGTTTGTTTCCTATCTCCCACGTAGTGTTTGTTTCCTATCTCCCACGTAGTGTTTGTTTCCTATCTCAGACGTAGTGTTTGTTTCCTATCTCCCACGTAGCGTTTGTTTCCTATCTCAGACGTGGTGTTTGTTTCCTATCTCAGACGTGGTGTTTGTTTCCTATCTCAGACGTGGTGTTTGTTTCAGATTCGTTGGAGTTTGAAGCTGCTGGAGACCCGGTGGATGAGGAGTGGAGAGAAGATCCCCGTGTGGAGGACTTCATGTCGCTACGTAACAGTTACAACATTGACGTTGATGATGCAGGTGTTGCTGCCATCGGATACAGTAAGTACACCGATATGACTTGAAGCTTGCCTATGTTGTCCACACCCACACCTATATCACATCCACACCCACCCCTATCACATCCACACCCACCCCTATCACATCCACACCCTGCCCTATCACATCCTCACCCACCCCTATCACATCCACACCCACCCCTATCACATCCTCACCCACCCCTATCACATCCACACCCACCCCTATCACATCCACACCTACCCCTATCACATCCACACCCACTCCTATCACATCCTCACCCACCCCAATCACATCCACAGCCACCCCTATCACATCCACACCCACCCCTATCACATCCTCACCCACCCCTATCACATCCACACCCACACCTATCACATCCACACCCAATCCTATCACATCCTCACCCACCCCTATCACATCCTCACCCACCCCTATCACATCCACACCCACCCCTATCACATCCACACCCACCCCTATCACATCCTCACCCACCCCTATCACATCCTCACCCACCCCTATCACATCCTCACCCACCCCTATCACATCCACAACCACCCCTATCACATCCACACCCACCCCTATCACATCCTCACCCACCCCTATCGCATCCTCACCCACCCCTATCACATCCTCACCCACCCCAATCACATCCACAGCCACCCCTATCACATCCACACCCACCCCTATCACATCCTCACCCACCCCTATCACATCCACACCCACACCTTTCACATCCAAAGCCACCCTTATCTCTGTCCACACCTGCCCCTATCCCTGTTCCCACCCCTATCCCTGTCTACACCCGCCCCTATCCCTGCCTACACCCACCCCTATTCCTCTCTTCACCCACCCCTATCACATCCATTCACACCCACCCCTATCCCAATCCACACCCACCCTATCACATCCACCTCCACACCCACCCCTATAGTGCCAACACCAACCCCTATCTCTGTCCTCGCCCACCACAAAACTGATTTAATATCTACTTTACCCTGTTTACCAACACACCTTTGTAAATATCCAGCCTCCTGCTCCCATCACCACGCTCCCATCACATCACAACACTCCCTGATAACGATCCCTGATAACGATCCCTGGCTGTCACTCCAGGAAGTGTTATACATGTCATAGTAGACGAGCAGCTTGAACAGGAATCAATGTGCATGTATGATATATAATCGATGAATGTTGTTTTGGCCTCTACAACGACAATCCCTTTCCTCTCACATAACATCTACCTGGTGCAATTAATATCCCAACTGTTGAACAGGTACACGTTGACATGTAGCCCATGTTCAGCCACACAGGTGGATCAGGAATTGACGACAAGTACTAAAATTTATACCTTCTATGTCGTCATTGAATAGTTTTCTATCTAATATCTGAGGCTGTTGCATGTTATTACAGGCAGATATTACTTTAAGTCTTCCGTAGGAGTTTATCCAGACCTGTCACAGGTCCTATACAGCCCTAAGCCTCAAGCAAATGTCAATAAAAATTCCCTAATTGGAATTAAAAAGTTCAATTCATGTTAAAATAGTTGTAATTGATGTTATGGCTTTGAAAGGGTAATTTGTATCACTGATAAGAGGACCAACATACAGGAAGACGCTTTAGTGATTAGTTTTACGTTATGGCACTGAAGGCAATGTTAAAACTTCTCAGAAATTAGGAAAGTAAGAACTAGGGGTGCAACGAATACACTATGAGGCGAATACCACTCGTATCACGAATATAGGGTAACGAATGCGAATATTTTTTCACAATTACAATAACAAGTCAGCAGTTGATGTATTATTCATTATATTCAGTGGTAATTATTTATTTATTATGCATTCTATATACTGCACTTATTTGCTCAGATGTAACTATGACTACCGGTAGTCAAATACTGTCAAATTAAATATACAAGAGTGTTGTCTTTGAAGAAATCTGTGCATATAATATATTTTTAGGGATATTTTAAGCAACAAGGTATGTAAATGCACATGACTGCAAATTCAAAAATATTTGATTCTAGTGACCACGAATAATGAATTCAATGCATGAATGGATATGGTTCGATTCACCAATTACGAGAGTGAATCGTAACAGCCCCAGAAAGAACTTCAAAAATATTCCAATTTTCAACAACATAATAATGGGCATTTAGTTTAGAATCCTAGATAAAGTCCTGTTCCAGGAAATTATGAAATAAATATGAGCCCGTTTTACAATAAACACACTAATTTGATTGATGTGTACTGGGTATGTCATTATTCTGTCTCAGACCAGCATGACCAGAGAGCTCTGTGTGTCGTCTCTTTTGTTATGTTTCTATAATTACCACTTTTCCTCCTTCCTTTTCATTGAGATTGATATTTACCCTTTTCAATTTCTGAATCCACAGGTATAATTTGTGTTTGTATCTGCAAAAGTGTGTTCAAATAGTAATTATATTTGTATTTTTTCCCCGCCCAACAAAGTTGGCAGGGGATATAGAAACGGGCTCTGTCCGTCCGTCCATCACGTTTCGTTTCCGGAGCATAACTCAGAAACCGTTCAATATTTTTTCATGAAACCTTGCAGGTCTGTCAGGTACATGCTGAACTGGTGCCTTTGCTATTAAGAAATTTTAGAAATTTTTATTTTTTACGTTTCCATGGCAACAAGATGGACTTAGGTTCTGTGAGGGTAGGGTTCGTTTCCGGAGCATAACTCATAAACCGTTCAATATTTTTTCATGAAACTTTGAAGGTTTGTCAGGTACATGCTGAACTGGTGCCTTTTGCTATTTAGAAATTTTAGACATTTTTATTTTTTACCTTTCCATGGCAACAAGATGGACTTAGGTTCTGTGAGGGTAGGATTCATTTCCGGAGCATAACTCATAAATCGTTCAATATTTTTTCATGAAACTCTGCAGGTCTGTCAGGTACATGCTGAACTGGTGCCTTTTGCTATTTAGAAAGTTTAGACATTTTTATTTTTTACGTTTTCATGGCAACAAGATGGACTTAGGTTCTGTGAGGGTAGGGTTCGTTTCCGGAGCATAACTCATAAACCGTTCAATATGTTTTCATGAAACTTTGCAGGTCTGTCAGGTACATGTTCAACTGGTGCCTTTTAATATTTAAGAATTTTGGAAAAACATTTTTTTTATTTTTCCATGGCAACAAGTTGAACTTTTAGAAATTTATGAATTCTTCTTTTAAATGCCAAAAACTCAATCAGTATAGGATTGCTATCACTGGGGACTTCAATATGCACCAGTCTGTCCGTGACAATAATACACTATCCAACCTCATGGAGCAGTTTACATTCGCCCAGTATATCAGCAAACCAACCCACACCCTTGGGGGTACACTAGACTTGATCTTCTGTAATGAGCCCATCTTAACAGGAGTCTTTCCAGTTCCATACACTGACCATCATCTTGTGTGGGGTGTGACGGAATAGGTGTAGTATATTGAAGTGCCTATCATTATTTCTTTGTATGTTAATCAATGTGGTAATGAACTGAACTTTTTGAATCTTAATATTTTTCATTTAATCTACTATGTCCAACGCAACATCTTGGGTTTGAACTGGTAATGACCATAATCACATATCACAGATTAATACCATTTATGTTTCTTAAGAAATATTCCATGAAGATATTATTACGAGTCAAAATGTGACTTGTAATGTTTTTTCTTTCTCCCACCCTCATGAATTCAGCAGTAAATGTTGTAACTGGTTTTGTCAGTTTGTACTTCCACCATGTGTTTGTGGAGAAGGTTTCATTTGTTTCTTGAACTTCATAGAAATTGTGTTTTGCAGCATTTTATTTTGTTTCTTCAGGATATTTTGCATCAAGTAGATGCTCCCCTGCTGCCTTTTACTCCTTACAAAATTTTGAATATTTTCAAATGTATGTGTTTGTGTGATCAAATTTCACTGTTGTTGACATAATATACACTTCATTTGCTGGGCAGGAGACTTGGCCACGTTAGTGGCAAACTCTTCTTTTTTGTACAATTTCCATGACAAGTTCCACCTTGGTTGAAAAAGATTAGGGTTTGTTTAGATTTAATTATGTCATAAATTCTGCAACAGGGGCAGGGGATATAGCCACGTTAGTGGCAAACTCTTGTTTGCACCTGCTTCTTAACATTCATTGCTTGTTTGTTTGTTTCTTTGTTTGTTGTTTAACGCCGCACTCACCAATATTCCAGCTATATGACGGCGGTCTGGAAATAATCGAGTCCGGACCAGACACACCAGTGATTGACATCATGAGCATTGATCTACGCAATTGGGATACGATGACATGCATCAACCAAGTCAGCGAACCTGACCACCCGATATCATTAGTCGCCTCTTACAACAAGCCCAGTCGCCTTTTACGGCAAGCATGGGTTGCTGAAGACCTATTCTATCCCTGATCTTAACATTCATTGAGCATGTTGAGTTCGAGGATGAATCCAAAGTATTCTTCTTGCTGGCACACTTAAATGCCAAAGGGCACATGGGGCACGGGTAGCCCTGTCGTTTCTGGTGCCACAATTTGTTGTGTAGAGTTGCATCCCTGTGCATGCCAGGAACCTCTTGTTGTGGGTTTCGAATCCCAGTTTGATCCAATTATGTTTCTAGGTTTGTAAGCACCACTCCTGTGCTCGTGGGTTTTAAGCGGTAACTGTCTGAGACCTGCATCACTTCGGGCTTTCCTCCCACATAAGTTGACACGCGGTGATATACCTGGAACACTGTTCAAAGCGGTGTTAAACCCAACTCACTCACTCACTCAGACACACAGGCAGAGTTAAGACATCTATATGACCTCCCTGTGGCACACTTCAAAACAAATACATTTCTATATCGCATATACCTTGAATTGCAGTAGTTTGTGAGGCTATCCATTGGTGTGTTCTATTATCACACTCCCAACCCTAATTGTGCTATTAGGATATTGAGGGAAGTTTTAGCTCACATTGAACCGTCTTAACGGTGTACTGGGTACAGCAGAATGTCAGTGGTGTGATCCTGGGTCCACATCA